AATCTAATTTAGTTCTTTCCTAGGTAAAGTCTTTCTGTTGACAGAATTTCAGGCAAAATTATTTTTGACGCGAAATTGACCGGGTGGAAATAAGAGAGACAGCCTCTTAAGCTGTCTCCATCTCTCTATTATTAAATTTTTAGAATTTAAAGTACTCAGGCCTAAATTTGTCTGAAATGTTATAGTTACAATAGAGAACTGTGCCTTAACCAAGCCCATAAGTTAAAGACTTCTCTTTGCAAAGCAGTAATACTCTCCATCGCGTTGAATAGATCGCATTTAATTTGAATCTTTTATGATTAATAATATTTTACTGGAACGTCAAGGAGTTTTCTCTATGAGTTGGTGATGGTCAAGCCCTCACCGAGACGCGACCAGCAACCTCTCAAATATCATTTTCGGAGTGAAGTTACTCGAGAGAGTCTTCGTTCGTGAATAAAAATCTGGAAGTCTAAAAAACTTGGAGGATTTTACTTTCTGCTCAGATGTAGATAGGACACAAAATATTTAGATCCTGAATTACCAGTCCTTCACAAGGATATTTTAATGTTCTTTGTTGACATTAGATCTATTTATAATCATGCACAGGGACAGGAAACTATCCTTTCTAACAATAAAGATATTTAATAGGAGGGAAACCTTTCTTTGTAATGGAATGGTTTTCCAAAGGAATAATTCATATTCAAGAGCTCCTTGACAAAAATGGACTGCCTCTCTCTCTCTTTCAAGAATTTCAAACGAAATATGACTGTAGAAATATTTTTAACTGTGGCACATAACTTCGAGTTGCTTCCTAAAGAAAATTATTTAGGAAATTGTATCAAGATCGAATTTGAAGGTGTTGACATTGATCTACAAAAAGCAATGCAAGGGCAAAAGATTTATAGTGATTACCAAATGAAAAGACCAACCAATCATTTCTTACTGGCTCAGCTAGATGGAATAACTCTATGAATTTAAACCCCTCTGAATTGGAACACTTCTTCAAGTTGGCGAACAGGATCTGTAGAGAGAATAAACTAAAATAATTCCAGTTCAAATTCTTACATAGAATTATAGCTATACGAGGAAAGAATTATGTCGCTTTGGTATTAAACAAGATAGTGACTGTTTGTATTGCGGAAATGAAGACTCTATCGAGCATACCTGTATCAATTATCAATTCTAAAAAGCTCTTTTGCGAGGAGTCAGTCAGTGATTTGATGACACATTATTCTAATCTTTATCCGTCAGTTAAAGGAATATTATTTGGGTTGTTGTCTTTCTCTCCAATTTTAAAAAAAGCTCTCTCATGTAAAATCAATTAAACGATGTTGTATAAGCGCTAATACATTTATACCAGCAAACTTCAAAATCGATTATGTATTCTCTCGGATCTAGTAAAAAACTAAGCATCAAATGCAATGTGGAGCAGATAGGTTAAAGTTTATTTCCGTCTGTATTTTTTCATGTTATGGCTTAATTATTCCCCTCTTCTCTAACAACATAATGATTGTAATTTCCTACTTAGAGAAAAACAGAACCAAAAAAATTTATAAAACGAGAAACTTTTGCTGACGTACTTGAGTGGTGAACAGCGAGAGCATTAAATTCTGCCAGGTACTTCCAACGCTGCTGTTAGCCAGGGAATAAATTTGCATTCCAATGATAATTTAATTTTTTATGATGAACACACAATAAATCGTTCATCAGTTAACATGTTTGATGTTTGTTCTCATATGTTCCTCCCCGAAGTATCCACCCTTTGAGTCGGCATACGCCTGCTGTAACTGGAAAGCTTGCGATTGGTAAACTGACTTTAGTGCAGGGGTAATTTCTGAAATCTTCCTCCATATCACTTAAAGCACCAGCAAAAATCTAAAACTAGTATGTGCACAGCATACCTATATGCAATGTTCTCCTTCACTAGCAACACATGTACAGGTATAATTCCAAGTTGTATAATATTTACAGAAGCGAATCCTCCGCAATTTTCGTTTCAACATTTATGCTTAAAATTCATTAGGGACTAAATTCGTCTGGAGCTCTTTTCGAACTAACAGTAACAAAAATCTGCTTTAATAAGCATCGCTGAAGACAAATTTATAGATCAAACTTGAAATAATATATTTTTTTCAAACACAGTCCAGCTCAGCTTAAGCGTTCACGTTGGAATCCAGTGCTCTGTTACAATAAATGGATCAAACAAGCTGCAGTAAACAAGTATATATTTCTACAAGCTTGCATAATTCTTGTATTTATATCCTAAATATATCAACAGCAGGTACTATTATCAACGTATCAGAATAGACTTCCTCTGTGACATATAATCTTAACAGGATTCAAAATATTTATAATTATATTTTATTTGATAAGCGTATCTCTGTTGCGTCTGGAGCATTAAAGCACACTCAAGCTTGAAATTACCAAGAGCGCCGGTGTGCAGTCATTTGGGTCGAAAAAGCGACTGTTAATTTATTCCTGTTTCCGAGAATTGTTTGTCTGTGTGGTTTCAGGATGTCACATAAACGCACGCTACACCTTGCCGTGTCTGGCGCTTTGCCCAAGTCGCCATTTTAAACTTATTTTGTCAATCGATAATGACAAAGTCGTACATCGCCGACGGTAGAGATCAAATCACCAAGAATTTATTTTCATGATAACTTTAGATTTTTTTCATGGATTTAGAGGCTTCGATTTGTTTTGCATATGTTATCAGCCCGGAAGGTTATTCTACCAGAGATTATTTATAACCATCCAATCATGAAACTTCACTTTCCTTGAGCGCTTGACCTAAGAATTGCTTTACCAATATGATAATCCAGCATTGTTTTACCGTCGATTTGTCTTCGTTACTAAGCTTTTGTTACCGCGATTTCGAAAATTGTTGAAGAGGAGGGCCCTAAGTGGAAATTTTGCAATACTCAAGGTGAAAGGAGCTTCTGTTCTCACATTCGAGCTCGAGCTATCTACATGTATACTGATGGCCTGTTGAAACCTCGCCACGGAAGATTGACTTACTCTGTTCAAGGTTCAGCATCTTCAAGTAAAGTCAAGACAAGAAATGCAGGAAAAAGGAAAGAGGATTCGATCATATCAGCTAGATGGGCCGAAGTTCTTTATGTTGTTTTGTTCTCGCGAGAGCAGACAAGAAAATGTACTCGACTCGACGGACTAATAGGCTTGAACAAAACCTGAACCAGAAAATTCTTGCCAGCAGAAAGATATTTTCGAGCAGAACTGAAATACGCGGGTTCTTTGCTTAACAAGGATGGAGCAGATCACTAAACCAAAAGGTAGGAATAAAGTATTTTATGCTGCGCCTTTGCCCTCTCGACAGATGAGCGCCGGCTAGCTTATTTCGCAACATGATGTTAGTGTTTTGGTATGATGAAATCAGGAACCTTAAATTCTTTGCTTTATCAAGTTTCCTTACGAATAGGAATAATTCGGATCGGATTGGAAAACTGTTATTTTAACTAGTTGGAACAAAACCTGAGTGACATACTCGAAGTTTTAGTGTGCACATAGTTCACGCAATTGAGCCGCGGACTTGTAAATGGGTTAAGCGCTGCGATTAATACAAACGTATTATTTACTCGTGAAAAGGTTTCAGTTCATAGGAAAATCAACCATTTCAGCCTCCTTGAATCATTGTATTAAACTTGATTAATGTCTTTTTTTATTCTCATACATTTAATAAGAACATTTTAATCTGATTTGGTCTAAGACACCTTTAAGTTTGATGCTTAAAGCGAAAGCTGAAATGACTTGAATAATATTCAAACAACGTATACAATTTCGTATAAATACTAAAAGTTCCCAAATGTCTGGAGAGGAAATATGAACATTAAATAACTAAACTGTATGCTATTTTCTGATAAGGCATCCGTGATACCGTTTATCCTACTACGCTAAAATAAATACTATAAGAATCGACACTTTGAGAGATTCGGCCTCGTTAGCTTGTGCGCATGATAAAACGTGCCAGAACCTGCTTGCCTTTTCATATTTCCTTGGGCTTAAAATCTATCAATGAACCTTTTGAAAGCGGGAATGCAACAAAATGTAACTGGTACAGATGGAGGTAACGGCCACCTATTTCCAAAAAGCAGGGAAACATCCTTAAAGTTGAGCTTTCATGGGTGTTCAGCTTAATACTAAAGTTTGTTGTTGCACCTTAATAATGCTGATGGTTTTCGCCTTCATATGTGCACAAATAACAAATTGGGGAGACCTTTAGGGTCCTTTAAAAGATTACATGAACTAGTCAGATGGCTGAAAGTTTTCACTTTAGGCTTGTAAAACTTAAACGGGTAATAACAATAACTGAACGAAAAACATTAATATTTTTTACTGAGTGTCTTGTAATTTTTGGGTATTACTCAGTCATTTCCGCATAGACACCCTCGGAAAACAAAATCTAGGCCTGATGAACTCATTCTTATTAGTGTAATCAATCCTTCTTGTTTTTCTTTAGGTAGCTTGCTATGTATTCAATAACATAAATTATATTTCGCTGTGAACTTATAACTTCACTATAAAATCCTCGTGCTGATGAAATCTTTTCGCTCGATTAGCGCCTTGATCCAGTGGAGCTATAAGTTTTTTCTTTTAAGACCTCGATCCTTTTTCCCTCTTCGATTTCACTTTATGGAAACATGAGAGTCAAATATTACAGTAAACACAATATTTTGAGCGTTCTCTGCACATTATCTTCTGGCCGATAGCCTTAGAACTTTATAGCTGAGAGAAAGAACACCAAACAGTGCTTGATTTACGAATATTTGATTTCAAATTTAGAAGCACTTTAAGCTTTATTAAACTAATTAGAGATTTACTAGAAGCATTAGAACTTTTTACCGTTGATTGATATAAATGATGACTAAAAGTAAACGAACTGAAGGTCACAAATTGTAGAACTCTAGCTGTGTCGGTATCGTTCAGTTTTGTCCAATAGAATTTGTTCAATTTCAAATTTGAATTTGCTCACGATAACCGTTTGCTTTTTTAACGGACAACGTCTGAGAGCAGCTCTAATGACTCAAATCGATGACTGTAATGGCGAAGAACAAAGCAAGGCTAAGGATAGCTCACGATGAAATCTTGTATTCGTAATTTTGGTATGAATTATGATTGTGTGTAGTTATAGTGAGTTTGTAAGCTCTCTCGCAGAACCATTTGTGTTTTCTTATTAGACGATATTTTTATTATACTTCTATTTAGCCAGCCCATATCTATCGAAAACTAATCATTTACCTAGGAATGACCCTGCTAGCTGAAAAATGAGTGTTGTTAATTTTGGTAATTAGATAACGGCGTAATATGTGACTAACACAGTCTATATACTGTACTATTTTACGCCACTATCTACCTAGGTATATTTTAATTATAATAAATTAATATATTATAAAATCATATTAACGACGTAAAATTTACAGTATATACATTTACCGACTGGAGGAAATTACGCCGTTAGTTAACGGGGTAAAATCTTATAGTATGTATGATACCAACTCGAAGGAAAAATCTTACAGCATGTATATTAACCGACGGAGCCAATTTACGCCGTCAGTTAACGGCGTGTATTATTCCGGCGACTGGGAGAAATTACGCCGATAGTTAATGGCATGTATTAACCGACTGGGAGAAATTACGCCGATAGTTAATGGCGGTACTATATATACACTGAAAATTTTACGCCTTCAATATAATTTTACAATATATGAATTTACTATAATAATTATACCTACGCACATGTAATAAAATGTTTTTTTTTCACGCAGTGTCGTAAAATAGTACAGTCTTAGACTGTGTTAGCCTCATTTTTTGCCGTTATCTATATTCAATATTTCATCAAGAGGTATCGAACTAGCGAATCTCAGCTTCCGAACTAACTCTGGCATCATTGAAACTTTATACCGGCACGGTTCGTGAGGTCTTTCTTGACTTACTTACTTCCACACCCGTTGACATGGGGTCAGTAAGCGGAAAAATTAGCCTCTGGAAATTTTCGGTTCTTCCGGAAACAGTTGACTTTTTATAAAAATACGTCATGAAATGTCCTCACGTAGGCATATTAAAGTAAGACGAAACGAAATTAATATTGCGAAAGGTGGTGAGTTTTTACCATACATGAGTTAAAATCTATGTAAAACATAAAATATGTCACGGCAACTTGTCAGTTACAAAGAATAATTCGGTCTCCCGCTGTTTTTATAACAGGACGTGCTATAATTCCTTACTCAGCAATTTTCCTTCATGGCATCAAAGAATTAGAAAAGAACAAAAAGCATAGAAATTATACCTAACAATAGGAAAATCGAAATTTTCGAACCATAATCGATAAGAATTTCCATTTTTGTTGTAAAATTAAGACGCAGTTTTGAACTTCTTAAAATGTAGAAATACAAATTTTCCGTTGAGTGAGAGGGAAATTTTGAATCGTAACGTACATGTAGCTGGAGTTTTTATCTATTTGTCAGGAACAGCACGCTTTCATTTACTAATATGCACAACTGAGGCATCTTCTATAATCAGTCTTTGTGGCCACTATCTCCTATAGGAGGCAGACTTTCTGTTTTGCATGTGAGACAAATATTCTGCAACGCTACGATCTAGCGTCATTATACAACCTCTAGTTCTTTTCAATGCTTTAAAATCGCGCTATATCAGCAGCCACATGCATTCATTGACAACCGGTCTATTTTTATTTTAAATCCTTTAACTGAACCCTCATGCGGCACACCTGGGTGACGTGCTGGATAGCGTTCATTCTTTTTTTCTTCGACGCCATAATCTATTATTGACTTATTATTAAGCGGTTCGCAGAACCACATAGGTGTAAGACTCGAGAGCGAAAACTCAACCATTTATTTACAGGTATTTTAATAAAAATCCACAAATGCTCCAGCAATCAAGCCTAGTAAACATCCAGTTAGGCAGTAAGGCAGGTTCTCTACGAACAAAAAAATTACACCTTCAGCGACTGATATTACAATACACACGAAATACAGTAGAACTAATTGATTGTTTCGAGTTTAAAGTGACCATAACTCAACAATTTTGGTTAGCAAAATATGCTAGTATGAACACGTCGACTAGTGCTTTTTCGACAAAGTACATGACTAATGTCCCGGATGTTGACGTCAAAATACAGGCACGAAATGGGAGCTACACTCATGTTTATTTCTTTCCGGCTAAAATGTAAAGCGTTGCTTTTAGGACCATGAATGGTATAAAAAGAAAGTTGTCGGGGAGAGAGTGGGAGTGAAATTCTTCTGGCGTGTGTATGTGTTTTTTTTGGGGGGTTTGGAGGGTAACATCTTTGCAGGATTTTTCACGATATAATTTGACGGAGGTAACTTAGGAAAATATTTTTTTCCCTGACACAACAACAACTTTTCAAAAAGAGAACAATGGGAGTTACACGGGGTCGAGGTTTTAGGACGCGAAACCGCTGAAGAGCAAATTTCTGCTTTGATTGCATTTTTTATCACGACTTCGCTATGTTATATTCCTTTTTCTCTTAGACTTCATTTTGAAGGTATGAATGCTACAGAGTGTCATTTTTCACAGTATTTATTCCATGAAAAAACCTTCTTGTTCTCTTTGTAGGGGTCCAGGCGTCCAGAAACTCAGTAACGACCAGAAGATGCCAGGCTACGTGCTTTCCAATGCTGAGAAACAACGGCTCGGCTCCAAGTATACTTGTAGTTCATGTGGTTATCTTTTACGGGATGCTATGCAAACTTCTTGTGGTCATTTCTACTGTAGTTCTTGTTTGGCCAGCTTATTTCAGTAAGTTCGAACATTTGGGAATTATACTTCAAATTGTGCTTATCAATGTTGTTGCCAAGAACAGTTTTCGGTTTTTGGTACCACACTCGTTTGATGCTATATGTTACAACAGTGTACATTACTACCTTGGTTTGACACTGTAGCTTCATTCAGTCATACATTTAAATCATTATGCCATGCAATTTTTCCCTTCTATTTGCTATTCAGCACATCTTGTGGCCTTCAAATAATGCCTTCAAAAATTGGTCTGCCCATACTTAGTGTTGTCTGTTACTTTTTGAGGAAAATGATTTGGGAAACATGTTTGCTTAACACCATACTGTTCTAGAGAAAGCCATAGTCCCAAAGTTTATCTATTGTCTTGCTTGATTTCTTGTATCAAAGAAGATAAAATTTCCGCACAGCCCCACACTATTGTGAAACAAATCTGTTTTCCCAATGGCAATGTATTGTTTTTGTCATTGTTTTCTCTATTCAAGAACTGAATGCATAATGTAGTATGGAGCTGTGCGGAAATTTTACCTCAAAGAACTGTATGCATAATGCTGTTTGGGGTTGAACTAAAATTGTTTCCTCAATTATAGGCTTCTGTAAATAATTTGTTCGCAAGCCATGGACAAATCCTGTTTATTTTGGTTTACCCTGTGCTATAACTGTATTTGTCAGTGCCATAAATTTCATGAACAAGGCTTATGACAGTTTGACAAGATACAATTTGGTTCTATTTGAATTGCAATTACCAGTAGCTGATATTATTTGATACAAATATATATCCATCTTGATAAAATGCATTAAAGTTGTGACTTAATGCCATTTAGAGATGGATCTACAAGAATGACCTGTCTACAGGACCAGAAAGAGTTTCTCCCAAATGAGGTAGGACTTCAGTATTGTAGCAAAACCAAATTTTGATGTCACAAATGCAAACTAATGACAGTTTCCTTATCATATTGGCAGGAAAAACTGCCAATAATAATTACTCCAGCCTATATATTGAATAAAAAAGTTGTTAAATTTTGAGCTTGGTCATAAAATAAAGAGAGATCACTTTTGCCTTGCTATGAGCATGGGATAAAGGAAAATTTAACCCTATGTCCTTATAATGAATGGTACCTCAGACCTTCAGATACAGAGCTCCAATGTACTGCCACTATGTTGCAGTTACTCTGTGATTAAGGTGTGACTACCTAGCTCAGTGAAATAGAACATCAGAGCCCAGAATTTGTAGGTTTGGGGAACAATTTATCAGAGGGACTTGAATTCTTTTCTTTTTCCTATGCTAGTGACATCATGGAAACATCTTTCTTTATTCTTGTATATCTCAACTACACAAGGAACTTTAACCCTTCCTCATCTTTTGAGAACCGAACAAATGAGAGTGCCCCCACTGCAATTCAATGACATTAGGTAGAGGAGAGTTTGATCACTGTACTTGAAAAACATTAGTGTAAATTGCTTGATGTGTCTTTTAATTAGTTTATTTCAACTTCCTTTAGGATTTTACTTTCACTTATCCTTAAACATTTCCTCTCAATATCTCTAAAGGTTTTTCCTGATAACTTCATGAGACGTGAAGTACAAGCCTTTGTTGTTAATTGTACTTTTGAGGAGGAAGGATGCAATTGGAAAGGAGAAGTCAGACACCTAGAGGTATAGTAAATGTTTAATTGGGTTAATTGTCATGCACTAACCTACATTCCAAAAATTTCAACTCAAAGAATATTTGGTCCTAATAAATGGTATTTGAATCATGCCATCAAAATACTATGGCTTAATACAACAGTTCCTGTGACAAGACCCTGAGATGATACACCACTGTAGACAGTGTGCATAAAGGGGCTATGTCATAAAACTCGTACGCTATTTCCAGATCATGCTTTGGCTGCAATGTTAGAAGTACATGTAGCTTCAGTGATCATTTTGAATTTAGAGAAAGAAAATAACACTATCACCCTAACAGCAACCCATTATCACACTGACATGAGCTAATTTACAATTATTAGTAGTACTCTAACAATCAGTGAAGCAGAAGAGCTACATGTTGAGGGCAAGGTTTACTATGAGTTCCAGGAATTCTTCCTGCTCGGAGTGTTGTATTAAGCTTTTTCAAGGGAAACTTTTTCAAGGTTATGAATGAAAGGAGGTCTTATAAGAGGTCAAAAACCTTTGATTGAGGGTTGGTTGTAGTGGGCAGTCATTTTGATCATTTTGAATCCAGAGAGTGTGGCTAGCAACTTATGAAAATAGATGTTCAGTTATATTGTTCTGTTATTCTCCAATTTGCTGTTGAAGAACACTGAGACGTGACTTTGGTCACAGAAACCTGGTAAAACAGGGTTTAAAGGTTCTGCTGAAAGACTTATTGTATTATGGTCCTTTCTTGTTGTACAACCTGCTTGTGAAAAACTGCATATATTGTGTTCGTGTTTTCTAATGCAGCCAATTTGAAGGCCTCCTGCTTGAAGGAGAGACTGTATTGGTAAGCTAATCAATATTGTGTCCAAAACAGAACCACTTGAGTAACTGTGAGTTCCTTAAAATTCCCTGTGTACATCCTGAGTGTGGAGCACAAGTGAAAAAATCACATCTTACCCAACACTTGGAAAAGGAATGCAAGTGCAGACTGGAAACCTGTGGATTCTGCAAGAAGCAAATCAAACTTAATAAGATGAAGGTATGTTATTTCAAATACAAAGCATTTTGCAATTCTTGAGATAATTTGAATTTGTATGTAAGCCTGACCCTTTTCCCCTTGCCGGCACTCACTTTTACTTTGAAATTTCTAGTTTCAGTGGTATTATCCTCTTAGTCTGTGGAACCATTTGCAGAACATCTGTTCAATTAAACTCATTTTTTGTGTGAAAGATGTCTTTGGCTAATGCAGAAAAAGCAGAATTATTTTCATTGATAATTTAGACTGCTGAGACAGTTAACAAGTGCACAAAGTTTGTTTTTTGTCAGTTGCACCTACTGTACATAGTAAACTGACAAATGGTTTACAGTTGATGTTCATTATACTTAACCTGGCATTCCGCAAGGCTTCAAAATTTAAAGCATAGGTAGCTATCAGGGATGTTAATAGAGGTTATGTGTATGTTTTCTATGACACTGTATTTGCCAAAGTTAACTCCACCTTTCAAATTGTGTGGTTTTACAGCATCATCATGAGACAGATTGCCCAGCATATCCCGTTGTATGTCAAAAATGCAATAAAGATGGAATTCCTAGAACAAAGGTAAACTATAAAGATATGATTTGATTGAAATGTTTCTCTTGTTTTGAATTTTCCTATCAGACCATGCTTTATCGATGGTTTTGGGTTGGAAACAAAGGAATATGAAACACTACATGTTACAGGGAAAACTGGTTTGAAAAAATTTGAATTGAAACACTTCGTATAAATTATGGAGCCAGTATTGAAATCTTCTAGTGAAAGTTGGTCAGTAGAGTGCATAGTACAATTTGGAATGTTGTTGGTATGTGCCGTTGTGTGTATGGTCTGGTCACAGAAACATGTCACCATTGTAATAATTCTAAAGCACCAGATTTTTCTTTCAAGTCGTTTAGTTGCATGTTTAAAATTGGACATGAATGTTATGGCAATATAATTGTTGAAGCCAGTGTCTAATAGCTTTTGATGGTAGGAATTGGAGAAAAGCTTGAAATTGAATAATTTAAAACGATTCTCCTTGAATGTAAATTCCAGGTAAATTTGTCTGGGTATGATACCCAACTAGAGTTGTGTTGTGTTCTAGCGAAGAAAAAAACATTTAGTTTTTGTGCCACCCCACACCTAAGAGAACATATAGATATGGTGACCCTGTCAATAAGACAGAATATAAACAGTATTGAGAAGATTGGTACACCTCCAAAGAAAAGAAAACACTTTTTAGTCGTGTTTCTCAGAAGATAATTCAGTTTGTTTCTTAATTTTTATAAACGGAGTGAAACTTCATTTTAACAGTGTATCCTCGAGATATCACAGCTTTCGTCGTGTAAAGTTGGTATCTTTTCTCTCTTTTAAGCATAACATTGTATCATATCGTTTTGTACGTCAGCTTTTACAACATCAAGATCCAATAATGGGAGACTGTGATAGTGTACAGGGACCATGCCCATTTTCACAGATTGGCTGCTCTGCGACTGAGGTATTTATTGACAGCCTTTTAGGAAAATTATGTTGATATGGTATAGCTCCTCAATAAACCAATACAGTCAGAACTCGACGAATGGGGGAATACAGATACGTGTATTCGCGTCGAAGCACGTCATGTCTAGGAAACTCAATTAAGTCCCAGCCACACTGTTTTGATCGTGTTTCACTTCGGGGCCCCGTCCAGGTCCAGCGTGTGTTGAAAAGGAGGCATTCTGTTCGATTTTGTTATCGCAGTACATACAACTAACAGTGGAATCTGTGTTAAGCTGCCACCCACTGGGAATGGCGGGTGCCCGCTGAATACAGGTTGACCGCCTATACAGGGTCCACGGAATAGGGTGCGGTAAAAAACGGTTTTATGCCATGATTGACCACTTCATATGAAAAAACTTGCTCAAAAATTTCGGGAGATGAAGATGGATAAGATATACTTTAAAGCTTATTCTTAGTTTTATTTGAGTGGCTCCCCCTTAAGTGACCTTTCAGTGGTGACGAGAAGAAGACAATAGGAAAACGCCGTTGGCACTCGGTACAGTGTTACCACGACCGCTTAATAGAGGTGATCACCTAAAAGAGGTGGAAATTACAGTGGGAAAGAATTTCGGGACTTTGACAACCGACCACTTAATACAGGGTAACCGGGTAATACGGTGCCGCTTAATACAGGTTGGACTGTACCTCTAAATAGTTTTGATATTTGCTGCTTATCGTATCGCAAGCATTAGGGGAACCGCAAGGGAAGTTAAGGAAACAGGCAACGCCGAGAAGCTGAGAACTCTTTTAATCTTAAAATAAACCAAAGATACACATGTATGCTTTCGTTCGGTCCGTAAAAGATCGATTTGATAGCAAGGAGACTTGGATAAGTTTGTGGGACTCTTTTTTTGTGTGGGTTTGATTAATCATGTGACTGCTGATGTACGTGTACCAATTCCTAAATCGTCTTGGCCTGTTGAGTGTACATTGAAATCTTTCTTAATGGCGCACTTCTCTTCCACAGGCCCTCACCCAAAAGCAGAGGAAAGAGCACCTGGAGAAACATAATACATTCCACACCACTCTGCTTTTACATTATGCTATACGAATGAGCAAAGAAATGGAAGCACTTTTAGTGGGTGATCCCAGAATTGTGTCTAGAAACCCACACATCCTCTCAAATTACGACAGTGTAATTGCAGATCTTCTCGCTCAAGTTCAAACTCAGGTGGGTGAAACGAGGAATTTACGCGAAAAATGCCGAGAGCACAGTGAGAGAATTACCGCCTTGGAGAGGAAAGTGGCTTCAGGAAATCTGTCGGGTTCCGCTACAACTGCCCAAATACCTGGCGAGTCCAGTGGTGGTATTCAAAACCCAGAAGTTACACGAAGGGTTACCAACGTTGAAAACCGAACCGCTGATCACGAAGTTCTTCTTGTAGAGAACAATCGCACAATGGAGGAAGTTAGACGTGACGTGGGTAATATGAAAAGGCAACTTGATACCACCCAGGAGAGTACCAGAAGGCACGACAGAAGGATTGAATCTATAGAGCACACACTGGCACTCAGGAACGTAACCCTGGCTGATTTGGAGGAGTATGTAAAACAGCAAGAGTTCTCAAGCTACGATGGCCAGCTGTTGTGGAAGATTCCTGATTATGCTCGCAAACGAAATGACGCAGTGACAGGCCAACAAGTCTCTTTCTATAGCCCTTGTTTCTACACCAGTCGCTATGGCTACAAAATGTGCGCCCGCATTTACCTGAACGGGGACGGAATGGGAAAAGGAACGCACATCTCGATCTTCTTTGTGGTCATGCGCGGTCAGTATGACGCGCTGCTCCGTTGGCCATTCAGACAGAAAGTCACCTTCATGTTGCTGGACCAGGATAACGTGGAACACGTGATTGACGCCTTCAGACCCGATCCGAACAGCTCATCTTTCCAGAGGCCAAGAAGAGAAACAAACATCGCCAGTGGGTGTCCAATGTTCTGCTCGCTTGCTGAGCTGAATAATCACGCATATGTCAGGGATGACGCCATGTTCCTGAAAATAATTGTGGATATTTCTGATCTGTGAATGGGAACTTTGAGTTGCGGTTTGTCATTTGTTTTGAAATTACCTTCTTCTTTAATTTAACATTACCATTGCTCTGACATGGCTTGTACATGCTGCATAAGTGATACATGGCAGTTGTTATCGTTTGTTTTGTACCTGAAGTGACGAGCATTTTCTTCGTTGGGCAGCACAGTTTTAATTTTGATTTGATGTTCTGATCTCAATGTGATGTAAAGGGAAGTCTGTTTCTCTTTATTACAATTATGGCAGTTGAAGCTATCAGCTTGCTCTCCGTCAAGTCGTCTTAATGTTATACCTTTACCCTCACCCACGATCGATTACGGTGTAAGTTCGATGTTCGGCATGAAGCGTTATGCAGAGCTATAGTAAATAGTATTGTTTTGTCTCCAACTAAATTATATGTCATATGATTTTTTCTGGATTTGATAATTTATGATGATATTGCTATGCAATCGATGTAGGTGCAATGTTTTTCTAAAACGGGTAATTCGGTAGCTGTTTGCTTTAGCGAATGAGATATAGTGGTAAGAAGTAAACGTAATTCGGAGTGACTTTAGCTAAAGTTGACGATTTAATTATTTTTCCTACGTTTGGCTGATTTTGATTTTTGCAGTTTTGCGGTTAAGATTGGTTAAAACCATAACAATTTTTGCGCAACTCCTATTTAGTGCTCAGCATCTACACACTAGTGAGTTTGTTGTACACGTGATATAATGCTTAATTAGTAACCTTACGCTTAGACAGTAACAGTTTTGGTTTATGTTGTGTGAGTTGCGTTATGCGCCCACTGAGGCACAATCCGTTTCCGATGGCGATGAAGAATGATCAGTTTTGAATCAACGAAAATAAAATGAGTGTTTAGCTTCGGTAAACCAAATTTTGATTATGAAGAAACGGAAGCATACAGTGTAGGCAATGTTCTCTTTTGTTTTAATGTTGTGGAATACCTTTTCCGCGATGCGTCGAGAATTCAGACTTCAGCTGGACTGCGGCGCCATCGAGAGGATCTCTTCAATATTTTTTTAAAGAAAGTTTTACCATTCTTGGAAGTTGGTTTTGAAGCATGTAAGGAGTGTGAAGTCACGTCTGCAGGCGTCACCGTTAACGATTATAGTGCATTCGATTCTCCCTTAAGACTATCTAAAACTTCAGCTTCGCTACGAGAGCTGACTATTATGGCGGTCTCAGTCACGAGGAAAATTTTCGTTATTTTTCGAAAATGGTTGCTTGAGATGGTCAATCAGAGAATTTGCAATGTCTTTTTTGGTGTCTTTTGTGCTGACCTCCTCGCGGTGGACACTGGAAACGCTTTTTGTTTGTTAAGTGGGGGTCTCTTTGTGATTTCTTTTTTCGCTCAAAGCAAAAACAATTAAAGACCTGGGAAGAACTGCCAGTGATAAATTGTCTGCTGGATCACAGACGTAAGTTCGTTAAACTAAGGGAAAAACTATGGAAAGTCATTCACTAACCCCACTCTCCTTATGTGTTGTGGGAAATCATTGTAAGATTTAGCTACAGGGAAGATCTCTTCGACTTGAAGATTTTTTTTCTTTCGTGATCGAAGCGTTTGAGACAAAAAACAGTATGTTTTCAGTTTTGTTTTTGTGAGTGAATCGAGTTCAAGGGACCGAGTCAAGGTGTCATCTGGAATAAAGCGGCTAACAGCGCACATTTCGGGGGCAGTGTATGCGTGGGTTGTCGAGGGTTTCCACCTAGTCGAACGTGAAGTTATAACATTCCACAACATAAAACCGAATGGGGTCACCTTCTCTCAGAGCGTATCTTTGTCTTTTTTATTTCTCGAAGGGACCAGTTACTATCTATGCACGCAAGTAGACTCAAATAATGTCGCGAAAATACCCGAACTGATAGATTTGTCTACTCAGAGCAGTTAAAAATTGAATTCAGTTATTGCAAAGATTAATGTAACACACCAAGTGAAACTAGCTAATTGTACTTGAAATTACTTCACGTTAGTTATACGCTATCGCTTGATTTTTCTTCCACAGTTAAACTATATTTTGTTACTTTACTGTTTTATTTAAACATGGTGTAAACTTTCTTGCAGAGAGGGCCAATAAAATATGAAAATGTAATATTTGATGAACCTTTCATCCCGGGGTTCTCACCTCTAAATGGTGAAGGGGTAATCCTGTAATAATAGATTGTAAGACACGATCCTTACTTTTTGTTTGTAAGATTACTTTGATTCAATATCATTAGTCGATTAACTCCAGGATGGGTTGAAAAAAAAAGCTTCTTTCTGGCGATCATCGTTCTTCCAACATAACCTCGTCGGATTTTAATAGCTTGCAGAACAGTGGCTCGCTCTTATTTATTGCCGGCAGAACAGAACAACTGAATATGCGTATGGAACATTAAATTGGTTTGTTCACTCAACGGAGTGCGAGAGGGAGGTTTGGGTCCAGTCGAAAAGAAATTTTACCTCAGTCAACAGTAATGTCGCAATCTGATTGGCGAATTTGGCGGCTGCTGACCATTGTGATGACAATATCGTTGTCGATAAGAGCACAGAGAACGCTAAACCACTGTCGATGTATTGAAGGGCACTAAGTTTGGGATTTACGCGACCCAACACAAACCTCTCTCCATTTCTCAATCCGCTGCTGCTCCATTTTACCAACTAAACGCCGGCAAAAGGCTAGCAGAACATCCGTATTTTAATTCGCGTCATGCGCGAGAGGAAGAAGCTTGCCATCAATGCGTGCAGGAAGCTTGCCTCGGTTTTGAGGAGAAACCCTAAGAATTACAACCGCTGCTCTGTAAGCTGAAAAATTTGTATATATTTTGAGTTGATGTAAACAGTCAGTTAAATTATCCATCGGAATGGCTGAATCTGACATAATACTGCTGGCGCAAGCCATTCTCCTTTCTACTCCAATCGTTTCCAGTGACGTTAAATGTTAATAGTATGTGATGACAGTTTCTTTTCTTCCCATCGGTCGGGAGCCCTTTACAATTAATACCTCCAAATATCTGCTAGTGAACTACGGTATACTGTTGCTTAATACTTTATAACCGTGCATTGCTGATCTGCTCATGCGTTGTTGTGTCCACATGCGTCCCTTATTAAAAAATGCCAGATTGTTTCTGAAAGAAGTCTTTTAAATTTCCCATAAATAATTATGATAGACTACCATGGTGATTGTGTGATGGAATAATCACTGAACTCGGTGATACCAAATTTTGCTACTGGTCAATTATCTGTCGCAAGTCCTGTTTAATTTGGCAAATTATTGATCTGTTCGACCCTCCCGCAACTGTATTCACGATGCTCAACCTAGTCATATTCATCGAAGTTTACTGCAACGAGAAAGGACTTTAGATTTTCCAATCGAACATATTTCCTCGGGACAAAAAAAAAAAAAACTTTAAAATTCTCACTCGTTTTGTTGTAGGCCTCCTCTCCCCGCCCTTCGTAAGTTGAGTGGATGCTTTTTACTGTAAATGCATGTCACATCCTACTAAGACATTCTAGAAATTATCAAATTTAGGCAACCTGATGATTTTTCAGAATTTATAATCGTTGTTTTTTAATTTTGGATCGTCAGCACATGTTCCGTTTTGTCTTAAAAGCTTCAGAACACGCAGATATGAATTTTTTACCCTTTGAAAGTCTCTTAGGGGAATCCCCTAATTATCTATTCGCCGCAAGGCACTACGGGAAACAAGAAGCGCTACACCATAATATTCAAAGATAACAAAATTTTGTAGAGGTTTATACTGTAATTCGCATCTAACCAGGTACGTAATTTCTTTCATGAGCTTGATTTCCCAACGATGCCTTTTGAAACCATTCTTTAAGGGTATTAAGTGTTCATCCTCAACTCTTGATCGAAAACGAAACTGTATCTAATGCAATTTTTTTTTGTGTGCTCTCAAAGACGAGAAATAAGCACTGTCGTTATTTTTTATTGACAAGTCTTTTATTAGAGACAGAAACATGCGTCGATTTTAGCGTCCGTAATGACATTTTCAGACCCCAGCACCACTGAGAGTTTCTAAAAGAAAGTGAGAAACAAAACAAAACAAAAACGAAAGCTGAGTTTTGTGGCGATACATAACAACGGGAACAAAAGGCGTGGCGGCCATTTTGGCTTTGCATAGTGTGCTTTTGGTTTTCAAATCTAAACAGGATCATATACTTGATACTTCAGCTTTCCTTAACCATTATAAATGTATTTTTTTATTTCAAGAGATTCTATTACCTCCTGGAGTCTTTCTGTACGTTAGTTAGGTACTTGAAAACGTTGTCGTTGTTTCAGGAAAGGCGAAATAAATGATGCTTATCGAAGCATTTCTTTGAATCCAAAATGGCGTTGCGTCCTTTATAGTTACAGTTCAGTGCTTTGATCATTCGTGACCTAATCTGAAGTTTGTGTTTCCATGTATATATGTAGTTGATATTGATGTGAAATCTGTTCTGTGCTTGATAAGCCGTCAGTTTTGTAATTGTTTAACGAGATAAACATCGAGGAGAAATCTTACCAGCAATTAGCGGGTTGTAGATTAGAAGGCCATGACAACAGAATGGACTTGCGAAAACCCTAAAAACGATGATGTAAATCACTTGAATTATATATCTTAGTTATACATTACTCTCAAAAGTTTTATTCTTTGATCGATGTGACAATTTCTTGGTATGATTAAACTTACTTAAGTAATACTGCTTAAACTGGAAAGTACCAGTATGTATATTGATAAGTAAGTTTAGTTTTATCTTGTAATAAAAGGTACTTTATGGATATTTTATGCACCAGGAATCGATAAAGAACTAAATATTGCTAGGAAAATAAAATAAAGAAGTGATTCAATATTTTTATACAACATGAGGATCTTACAATTTAGTAAGATCCTGCTAGAATCTTAATCTTTCAGTTCATGTAATTGCAAACCTTTGAGCAATTAGTTATCTCCAGGCGATCATATTTATTTTTACCGTATCTGGCGTTATTAATGTGAAAGAAAGAGTACAAATTTATTGAATCAATATTTGCAATCTTGATGTTTTTGGTAATATTAAATGACTTTGTTTAAACACTCTTGACCATCCTCCAGTAATTGTACTGGAAGTTGATAGTGTGTAATATGTTTTGATATTAGATGAAGGTTTTAAGTCTTAGTTAACCCTAGAATTTGTCTTGTGCTTGTGATACTATCATTTTAGTTACAGCTGGTCTTTCTGCTCTGGGTACTTCTCTGTGATAATTTTACCAGAGCCTCAAAATTCACATGCAATCAAGTTGCTCCAAATAATTTTACTGATGGTGAATAAGTGTAATAGCAACTTTGAGCAAACGTCCCCTCACTTTTTATTTCAGGTTAACAGACAGAGTTATTTAATATTTAAAGATGTCTGGATACAGAATTCCATTTTCTGCAAATATTGATAATAAGTTTATTTGTATATCATGTGGTCATTTATTGAGAGATGCTGTACAAACACTTTGTGGCCACCTTTATTGTGAAAACTGCTTGCTGAAGATGTTAGAACATAAATGGTAAGTGTGTATTTATCAACATAAGCCAAATAAATTTCAAAAGCTTGGTAGTGTCATAAGATTTTCTTCAAAACAGTTATGTAATACTTAAAATGAAATTATGGGCAGGGATCACACCAAATACATACCTCTGTATTGCTGTTTTGCAACAAGTGATGAATGTTTAATTAAACCTTATATGTGGCTATGATTTTGAAGACATTACTACTGCTTTCAGGAATTTAATTAATCCACAATGCAGAATGACATCATCACTTTTTAACTGAACCAAATTCTAAAAGTGCATCACAAAATTTGGATTAACTTAAGTAACTTGATCACACGACTTGCTTTTAGATGTCAAAGTAATATATATGTTATTTATTGTGTGATACATTAATAAAATTCAAACATTAATTTTTGTGAATAATGAATACTGTATTACTGTTAATAATTAATAATTTTTTAAAAATTCATTTTGTCAACTTAAAGTTGTTAAAGGAAGAATAAAAGTAATGAAGTTCACACAGTGCAAAGGAAGTTACTTTCTAGAGGGTCTCTTGGGTACCCCAATCTGGCCATGCAACAAACTCAGTGTCCCAGGCCCTAAATTTAAACTACTATTGGTATCCATTGGCTTTGCAGTTTATATTTTTCTTTATTCCAATTAGTGCTCAAACCATTTGCAACTGTGTATATATAAACATAATTTTGATTTAAGTTGTTGTTGTTAGTTGATTATATGTTCTAACAGATTTACTCCTGGCCTTTTCTTTAGGGTGTTAAAGGAAGTCAAATGTTTAGACCAGAATTGTAGCAGTCAAATTGGAAATGGAGGGGTAAATGTTTTGTAATTCTTTTTTACTTAAGCATTATTTTAAACTTATATATTAATGCATTTTTCCTAGTTAATAAGAGTACATACAATTTCATCTTCAGGTAGGAAAAATAACTATCATAAAAATGTTTATGGACATCTAAATTCATTATCAAGTGACTTAAGAGATATGGAATTTTATTTTTAATGTATTGAATGAAATGAGACAATAGGTAAAATTTTAAGATACAAGTTTTAGGCAGGCATGTTGTGGAAATGATGATGTGCATAATCACTATAGCCTTTAGTGGGAAGAAGCATTTCTGATTACCAGTTCTGATATTTGAAATATAATGAAATAAACAAACTCCCTTAAAATTAAGTGTACAAGTAAGAGGGAGAATTCTGTGTAATAAAATTTGTGGACTGCATTATAAATTTAATTATATGCATGGGATTTTAGGTCCTCCTAAGATATCTATTGAAATTTTGTAGTCATATTTGTAAAAGTTTAAAAAATTTGTGTGCTGTAAGACTTAATGATGTTGTGATTTGTAAGAATTATTTGGTGGTCAAGTTGAACTGGTCTCTGCAACAAAGTGAAGGAGTTAGTAGTTGGTCTGTCATGGCAAAAGTCCTAAAATATCTCAGGAAAGTTTTATCTCAAGAAATTAAAATATCATGTATCCTTGAACAAGTACCTGTGCTCTAATTGGTACCCTCCCCCAAATAAGTGCAAAATTCCCCTTGGCCATACTACCAAACAAATTTCCCTCTTCAATAAGTACCCCACTCCTCCCTCAATTCTTTTAAGTAGCAGGGATACAAGGAAAACCTGTTTCTAATTAATTGCCACTTTATTTACAACTTTTTGAGCTTCAACCATAGTGGAGTCAATTTCCACTCTAGTTATTTTTTTCTCCATGTGCATGCAGAATTCCTCAATAAGCATTATCTTTTCTTTATTTTTTGTCAAATTGCTGTGCTAACTTAATAAGCACCCCTTTGATTAAGCACCTTCTTCCTTTATTAGCCCCCTCCTTTTAGGGGAGATTTTAAATAAGCCTGGATACTTCTCTAAGGAAATACAATGGCCTGAATTTTCTTGCTCGCTATAAGTTGCAGAGATTATTAATAGTGATTGAAACTTAAGTTCCAGATCTGTTCCCCTCAATTTTTTTCATGCTCTTTTATTTTCCTCATCTGATTTCAAAATGCATTTTTACATTTATTGATGTGTAACCAATGTGCCTTAGTGACATTAAAAAAAATGACTTCCAGTTTGTTGTAAAAACAATTTTTGGTCACACATTTATTTCTAACCATGTTAAATTAAATGATACATACTAGTTCATGTAATGGTCCTCATCTGAAGTAACTCAAGTGGAAATAGATGTATTTCTGACAGGATTCTTATGGGTTCAGTACAGTTAACAGTCCTTTACTAATTAAAGAAATCAAAGTCAGATCATAGGAACAAAAGATGTATGTATGTTGGTAATGTAATTACATATTAAGAGGTAACATAGGAACTAACATACATTGTGTGTATCTACAGAAGTGAATTCCTAATGTTGATAATGTAACCTAAATTAAAAAATTGTCCTCACAGGGATCGCAATGAATACATAATTTCTTGTATTCTAAAATGTCTGCATACTTAAATTACAAGTGCCATCTTATTCTTTTAAGGGAGATTATGTTTGCTTGTACAACTTCATTTGTTAATGTACTACTTGGTTCAGCTGGAAAATTGAGAATATTATGCAAGTTCACATTTTTTTTGTTTCTATGGACAGTATTTTCCTGACAATCACACGAGAAGAGAAATACTGCAAATTATTACACCATGCTTGAATAAAGATACTGGATGTGATTGGATTGGTGAAGTCAGATCTGCGGAAGTAAGAGTAAAAAGACTACTTTTAATACCTTGTAGCCGTAAATGATATGATAAATCAAGTTGCTTGATATGTTCCCTGGTTGCATGTGTTTGACTTTTCTATTTCTTGAAGTCAAATAACATTATGGTTTAAAATGTAATAATTAATCACCAAATTTGCATGTCTTGGGGGCCTATTAAAGAAAAGAAGGATAAATGAAAGTTTGATGGAAGATCTGAAGGAAAGGTGGGTGGGACTCATTGTATGATGGTATTTACATCTATAACACATCAAATTATGTTTATTTATTAAACATTTCACAGATAATGTATTTTCTTATAGTACACGCAGTTTGTTATCTTAAAGACATCACTTTTAGCCCCATGCTGGTTCTGGAAGTACCCTTGCGAAATGGCTTTTGGAATTCCTAGGAATTCCTAGGATTTTCCTAGGAATAAAGGTGTGAATTTTCACACTAAATTCGGACTGGGAATTCCTAGGAATTCCTAGGAATTCCCAACCATAACAACTCTGGTTCTAAAAACCTAGAAATTCCTAGAAATTCCAAGTTTATAGCCAACAGGACTTGGAATTCCTAGGAATTCCTAGGAATTCCAACTCAGAGAACCAATGACTTTCCCTGAAAAGCTGTAAATCTAAAAAATTCCTTGGAATTTCTGGGAATTTTTAGGAATGTTTAAGAATTATTGGGAATTTGAGGCTAATGAAGTAAAATAAATACTTTAAATTAAAAAAAACCCAGCTAAAATTCAAGTATTCAATGAAATTGATTTAGAAGCTTAATTAAGGCTTACATGTAAAATATTTTTATTCATTATTAACATCAATGTGTGGTAATATTAGGATGGAATTTGATTTTTCTTTTCTTGAAAACTTCATACGGATTAATCCTTAATTACAGCTATTCATATAAAATAGTCCTAATAATCATTAAATTTGGTTTGACACAAATTGTGAATAAAATCTGTTGATTCTTTTCCATAAAATACAATATCTTAAATTATATTTGAAAACCAAGCACTCTTAGGAGTGAAGGGGTTAATTACAGACAAATAAAATTTATTGTTTTATTAAAATCTTGTAGTAACTGTAACAATAAATTAGAATGAAGTTATCCTAAACTGCAAACTTAGCTGCTGCTTGTATTTTTTTTCTGGGCTCACAATGAGTTGGCCTTGAATGAGGTTGTCTACAAGAAGCTTGACCATTTTGTATCTGGGTTCCATGACATCTGAATTTGAAAAAAAAAATAAGATATTTAAATATATATATTTAAAGCTCAGACCAGGCCTTTAAGATGGCTATGAGGAAAAGGGCATTCATTGGATTCTCAAATTGAGAAATCTCTGTTATATTGAGTGACTTTTATATTGGAGTTAGTACATCTCTCTCATAGATTTTACTAAGTGACCGATTCGATTCTCAGAATTATTCTAGTTTCAATTGCGCCGAGCGTTATGTAAGCTTAATTCAACCCGCTACATCTATTCTTTATAATATTTTGATTACGCAACGAATATCGCAATTTTTTACTCACCACAAACTTTCAAAATCGTAGCTTTACAGATGGCCACTCGACCCTTGTTTGTACTAGTCAAGATGTCAACTGTTGTCCCTTCTTTTAACTCCACGGCGCCAACGACTTTCTTTTCTTTTACAACACTCACGCTGTTCTCGTTTTCCCATTGAACCACAATAAAAGCTATCTTTAGAAATGTTATATTAAGCAAAACAGTTGAGAAAAACGATCAACCGATGAAAAGTACATTCAAAGATGAGCGCCAAATGGAGTCTTCTTTGTTTCTGATCACGGGCATGATCACGTGGATCTTTTAGGGACTTGTCCTTGGCTAGCAAAGTGAATCCGCTGACTTGCCGATTGCAGTGTTAAGAGAAGCGCACAACTTTATTTTGACTTCTCCGACCGGTTCTTTGCTTCTAGATGATGGATACCTTGGTGATATAAATAATGATGTGAGTTCACTCTATGTAGAAGAAATCGACAAGAATCGATCGTATTACAAATGCACGATTTGTGGCCGAAAGTTGTTGAGGAAAAAAAGACTCGAAACTCACTTGAGTTGTGTTCATGGCAAAGGTGAGAAATAACACAAGCCAATCACAGTTTTGAATGCGACTACAAATCGTCTTTTACCCTCATATTTATAAAGGAAGGATACCACATTAGGAAGTCTAAGAGATACATAGATGATCCCAGTGTACCAGTACCTAAATCTACAAAGCTTGACCGTAGCAAGCGTTCAGCAACATGTTCCAACACCGCCATCTCGATTCCTCAGTCAGTCGTCTCCACTGAACTTAAAGCAGTAGTGACAACAGAGTAGAGTGCGTCTTACAAAGGAGAAACATTTGTACAAGAGACAGAAGTAACTATATGCGATTACAGAGGTACGTTGGAACTATGGTCCACAAATAGTTATGCACTGTCCGAAGTATAAAACAATTTTGTTGATAGCTGACAGACAGAGAAGAACAACAAGTAAACTTAAGAGCTGTTATTATTGAAGTGTGACTTGCAATTTTCATTTTTATATAAAGAAGGACTTGTATTTTGCACCAAAAATAAAAAGATGTAATACTTTTTGGGAGATCCAGTGATTGGGACATTTAAGAAATTGAGTTATGGAAGGAAACTTGGTTGGTACTTCTCACTTCTAACAAGTCTTGTTGACAAATATTTTCAGATCAGAGTTTCAAATAAAGTAAATTGAAGATGTCATTTAAAAGGTGTTTTTTCTCAAAGGGAACATTGACTACCTCTGTCTTGTCTGCATGCCAAATGTTTGCAAAGTGTGTGGATGATCCACAAGTATTGGAACTCTTACAAAAATGTTTTGTAAGAATAAAAACAGCAAAACAAATTACAGCAATAAGTCACGAAAACAGAGCAAAAAACTGAAAGAAAAACCAGCAACAACAATCATGAAAAAAGAAAGATTAATTAGGAGTTGAATTTGTTTGTCTAAGGCATGAAATTTCTACTAAAAATATTGTCAACAAAAAGTCTCTGACAGTGTTTGAGGCAACTGAGCTTGACTGTTCCAAGGTTTTCTAACAAAGGCAACCAGTAATGTAGGTTAGGGAAGTAACTTATTTTCATAACTAACAAAGTTCTTTAAGTGTAGATAACAATGTAATTATTGTTAATTATTGTGGAAGTTGTGTACCAAGGAACAGCCAATGAATGTTTGATGATTTTGGCACATCAGTGAACATGAGACATTAATTTGCATCACAATAAAAACATTTTTTGATCATGGAATCCAAGAGTCCTTTGAGGTTAGAAAGCAAATCTGTGATATGAGTACATTGGATTAATTGGCAATTTCCATTTAACATAACTGACAGCTGGTTCATGAGAAAATCCATATTAATGTAAAGATTTACTAAAACTTAGTTTGAATAATAAATTTAATATGAATGAAAGTGATCTTCGCAGTGATGTGCACTACTTAGGCAGTAGTGAAAATAAGGCCTGAAAAAAATTCAGGCCTGTACGGGATTTGAACCCATGACCTCTGCGATACCGGTGCAGCGCTCTACCAAGACATGAATGAAAGTGATCTTTATCCGCAGTTCAAATATATGACCTTCATATATTCTTAACCGTCTATTCATCACTTCATGGGTTTATTTAGAACCACCATCATGAGCAGCTCCCAGTTGGCTTGTTAGCTCAGTTGGTAGAGCGCTGCACCGGTATCGCAGAGGTCATGGGTTCAAATCCCGTACAGGCCTGAATTTTTTTCAAGCCTTATTTTCACTACTGCCTAAGTAGTGCACATCACTGCGAAGATCACTTTCATTCATGTCTTTATCCGCAGTTCAAATATATGACCTTCATATATTCTTAACCGTCTATTCATCACTTCACGGGTTTATTTAGAACCACCATCATGAGCAGCTCCCAGTTGGCTTGTTAGCTCAGTTGGTAGAGCGCTGCACCGGTATCGCAGAGGTCATGGGTTCAAATCCCGTACAGGCCTGAATTTTTTTCAAGCCTTATTTTCACTACTGCCTAAGTAGTGCACATCACTGCGAAGATCACTTTCATTCATGTCTTTATCCGCAGTTCAAATATATGACCTTCATATATTCTTAACCAATAAATTTAATGATCTTTAAGTTATAAACATATACATGTATGTATATCTCTTGGTAAGTTTTGTATAGCATACCTTTTATTGAGCCAAAGTTTTAAGCCTCTGAAATTATTCCTTTTCTTAAAACCTTCACATTCAAGGTATTGAGAATTTCTTAGAATTTATGTGGACCTCAGGGTATTAAAATTGCCTCAAATTCAATTCCCAGAAATTCCCAAGAGTTCCACACTTCTTAAATTATGGGTAGTTTGTAAAGCTGAGAATTCCTAGGAATTCCTAGGGATTCCAAGTCCTCACAAAACTGGAGTCTTCCTTTCCCAGAAATTCCCAGTAATTCCAAGCATTTTAAATCAGAGTTAATTTGCATAGTTGGGAATTTTTGAGAATTCCCAGAAAACTGGGAATTCAGTTTGTAAGGGTCATTTGCATAATTGGGAATTTTTGAGAATTCCTAGGAGTTCCTAGGAATTCCCAGAAAACTGAGAATTCAGTTTGCAAGGGTAGTTCAGATTCAAGTCACTTGGGCTTGGAGGATCAGGCTGAATTAGGCCTGATCAGATTGGGTCACTATACTTTTAACTCTGTCAACTAAGACTGAGGCAACTCAGAGATCATTTGGGTCCTGAATTTATATATTTTTTTGCATGAAATTTACGTTACATTTAAATTTTGGTGTTATTTGATCTGTTCATAGGACCATTACAAAGAGTGTGAGTGGAGGCCAGTGACATGTGTTAATTCTGGCTGCAATAAAGACGTACCACTTAATACATTAGCCAAGCACCAAGAGGAGGAATGTCCTTTTAGAGATGTGGTTTGCAACTTCTGCAATAAGGCAATAAAGTGGGCTGATCAAGCAGTAAGTATATACTGGAAGCTTCATTTAGAATCAAGTAATTAGTAAGTCAGAGCCAATGATAAAATTTAAATATATCCAAGAAACCTACTTGTTTGGGGAACCTTTACTCATGATGATGCCCAGAGGCAACAACATGTTATTTAGCCTCTGCATCAATTAAGACTGAAAGGGCCTTCATTGTTTTATAATGCAGATCTAGTCCAAAAGAGTATAACCTAAGAGAAACGTACTAGAGGAAAACAGAACATAATTTATACATCCAATAGGATACTTAGTAAACTTATTGACTGGCTTCCATAACATGTAGCTTTCACTGTCATTGAGTCATTGTATGGTTATACTATTAACGTTCATTACGTTATAGAACCATAGTGAAAGCTGTGAAAATCTACATGTTACTTGTGGAAATTGTGGGAAAGAGAACATTCAACTGTGCGAGGTACAGACTTCAACCACATTAATGCAATTATTATATTAGTTGCATATTACTATTGCTATATTTTTTATGAGGGGGCGGGGGAGTTAATTATCACAATTTTCATTAACAACTATTCACCGAAGTGGAGGTGGGTATAAAAGGTGGATATTTACCTAACTGCGAAGCGGCAAGTAAATTATACAATGCTTTCAATGAGATTTGAACCCAGGGGGGTGGGCAAAAATAACGCAAACGAACTTCGACGAATTTCTTGGCTTTTGGAGGAAATTTCGCTGCGAAAGAACTTTCCGCGAACGAAATTACGAACGATATTTCGCTGTGGACGCTAGTGAGTTGCGAACTCAAGAGGGAAAGTTCGCTCTTCTCGAAAGTTCGGTGCGAAATTTCGAGAGAAAATTCACTCTACTTATTACAGCGAAGTGTAGTCTATGTATTGTTGTAATGCACTGCAGAAAAATTAGAAATCAGTCTGATCCACTCAAGTAACTATTCTATCGCTCCTTGCTGTTGAAACCTCAACGAATGTTTGATTGTTGATGTGATCCGAACAGCCAGGTGTTCGAGTCTAAATAGAAAGGACCACGCAAACACTACAGGCAAGTGGAACTTGAACTGGACGCCATTTGTTGTGATTAACCTTTTCATATAACGACACATGAAATTCCCAATTTTTAGGCGAGACTCCACGCGAGGAAGCATGACGTGCTGTTCGCAACCATGGCAACACATGGTATACCAATGCTTCGATTCTCTCTCTCATTCATTGATCTCGTAGCACTCTGGTAGTTATTATGCCAAAAATATCAAGCTATACTAGAACTCGAATCGAGCTCCTGTATAGCCAGGGCTTCCATCCAGCTGGAATATTTAAAACCTTGAAAAGCGAAGGGTTACAAGTGAGCCTTTCAGGTATCACTCGCTTAATCAAGAAGCTGCGTCTTACTAGCTCCGTAGCAAACTTACCTCGCTCGAGGAGACCGAAAAAGCTGTCTATGGAAGCAAGAGCTTTCATAGACCAACAGATGCGTAGGAATGACGAGACGAAGAGCGCGAAGATTCGAAAGAAGCTGGCAAAACGAGGAATTCTCGATAGTTCGTCCACGGTGCGAAAATCGCGAAAGCAGCATAGCTGAACTCTCTTGCAAAGTAAGTTTTCGAATCTTCTTCCGCACTCTCTAAACTTCCCGCGTTAATGACGGGATTCAAATTTGTTCATGTGTAAATGTAATCTGCGAAAACTAAAGGAACACTCAGATACCATATCTGCCAAAAACGTGTACTGTCCGTATAAGTCAAAAGCGATGCGGAAAATTTACTATTACAGCAGCATCTGATGGCATTGATCAGAACAGGCTTATGTTTTGTCTTTTCTGGTTTAAAACAAAACATGAAGTCTTTATTCTTGGTAAGTTAAGCGAGTATTTCTCATCGTTTGTGTTCGTGACATAACTCCAGCCGAGGAACTGTCGTGTATTTCGTGAACGTTATATGATGGAAAGATCGCGTAAATCGCATGGCGAACAGTTGAGTCTATACAGCGCGAAATTTCGACTAGTAGGCAGTAAGCCGACGCTTTTTATGGCGAAATTTCGCTAAACTTTCGTTTCGAAGCGAAAATTCGACGAAATGGCGCTCTTTGTTCAACGGAAAATTCACTCAAAAAGCCTCGAATTGTCATTCGAACTTTCGCACGAAATTTAGTTCAAAGTTCGCGATAACAAAAAAGGAAATTCGCGCATTTCGCTTGCGTTACTTTTGCGCAAAACTGTACAAGGAAAGGACAGGGGAGGAGGCAAAGATGGCCTTCCGAATAAACGATTGCGAACTTGTAATGTTAATTTCCACTAGTAAGACCCCTGTGATGAAAATGTGAAAAAGTAAGAAAGAAAATACGATTGCACTTCCTGGCTTGATGAAAACAAATTATAATTTCATCATGCAAGGTAGGAATCTTAGCAGGAGATTCTCAGCCGCTATTTAGTTTTTATTTAAAACTGTAAGAACTGTTAATGGGAGCAAACATGCTTTTTGCCTTTTGTGATAGCCGAAAAGAATATTTAAGCACATTGGATGACTGATATTTTTCGTGGCAACAATTACGAAGCCTTTAATTATTACCTGTCTGCTCATTACAGTTGAAGAGGCATCAAGATGCAAAGGACGGTGATTGCACAAAAAAGGAGTGTCCGTACAGAGACTACGGATGTGAGCATTGTGTAAGTTTGTTAGTAATCAAATTTAGGTAAAAGCGTTTCGAGATTGAGTATAAATTTTTGAAGTTATTCTAACCGCCAATATAATGAGGACCATATCGGAAATCAACTTGAGTGCATTTGATCTCATGCCTCATGAAGCGCTGGAATAATATGTCTCCTTCGCACTTGTTTACGGTTTTTCATGCTTAATGCTTTAGTAGCATCCCAAAGAATTCCGGCTGCAAAGTCAGTTCTGCTAAAGAACATTTATCCATTGTTTACTTCAGCCGTTAGCACTGCTCAAAGAAAACTTGCCCTCAACTCTCCTTATCTCTTTAGACGCCTCCATGTCATCAGCGTCTCTGTGAAGCAGTGGTAACTGAAAAACTACCCGCTGAGACACTCATTTTTGGGTACAACTAAGCACTGCCAAACAAGAGACTTCACTTTTCAAGTCACCCACGCCTGAAAACGTAGTGTTTTAGAAGCCTTTTCTTGACATGTCTCCTTGCTAAAAGCTGGTCTGTCAGTTTTTGGACAAGGGGACTAGGCGATGTTTATCATGATGCAGACTGTTAATTAATTTTAAAATTGTTCCAGGAGAAGATGGATCCCAAGGAGTTCAGGGCCCATTTGGATGCTGATGTGGTCCCACACTCATTGCTTGTGTTGCCACATCAGAGAGGTATGAATGACCATCGCATGGAAGCCAACGCGGCTGAGTTAAGTGCCTTAAAAGAAACTCTCGCTGCAGATGAAAAGGTCATTGCAGAACATGAGTGGGCACTCCAAAGCCACTACCAAGAAATCCGTCTTCTGAAAGAAGATATGGAGAAATTGAAAAACTCTCGCGGGTAAGGGGACGGTTGCCCGCTGCATAGATAGTACATTGATTAGCATATATATACATTAATCACAGATAAGAATGGAATTTCTTTAGTAGTTAGGAATGTGAAATTGTACTGTTATGGAGTTATATGTAGTAGAAGATAATATTTGAAGTGTGGACTATTTTTTAGAGATGTGACAGTGATGCAGGTAAACTGTGATAAATTTAGCACTTAGTTTTATAATGAGTAGTTTTTACCATCATCACTGTATGATACAAAATAGGTTACTAGAAATTAGTCTGGGTATTAGTCTGTGGTCGAGTTTTTAAAGGGTTTGCACAGTACACGTAGTTTACGTACACGTAGTTTACGTACACGTAGTTTTCGTACAAGTTTAGGTAATTTTGACTGGTTTACTAAATCTCTTCTCGTTTTTGTCTATTTCTTGCAAATTTAGGGCAGCTTTTTCAACTTTAGACAGTTAAAAATGCTGTGGATCATCATTTTTTCATCGTCTAGAACTGAAGTAGATTTTTACTTGACTGTGTATATAGTTTCTTATCAGCGGCGCTTGAACGAGCGTTTAGAAGCAATTAAAGGGTAATTGGTCATTTCGCTTACGGGTCGTTTGGCTAACGACAGTTGGCTGACGTCTTAGGTCATTCCGCCAACGTCCCAGGTAGTTTTGCTAACGTCTCACTGGTCGTTTCGCCAGCGTTTCACAAAACCATTAGTAGTTCTATCGGCAGAACTTGATCGACTTCCTATCGAATCATAGGCAAAATGACAGTAAACCAATCAAACATGCGTTGGCTCACATGGTTCTTCCACCCGCCATCCAGTCTACGTTAGACTTTACCCCATAAGTGGACAACTGTGACAAGGCTTAATCCATTGCAAAAGAATATAGTATCTAAAATGGTAGCAGTTTTTAAAAGAAGTTAAAGCAGTGATATCATCTAGGGTTAGTTATCAGACATATCAACTCTACTATGGTCTCCCGCGTGAGCCTGCGAATACGTTTTTCAGCTTTGTCTTCGTTGTCCATTCCTAATTCAGTTTGTGTCAGACTTATATATAGGATTCCATAGTCGATTGTGGTTCAGTGTTTGGACCCAATTTTTTTAGTTTTACATGTCTCGCGATTTTTCTCCTTCCTATGTCATTGCTTTCAATGACAGGGATAAATATCATGTGCTTGCCTCCTGAAGTAGCCAGACTACGAGCAGGATTAAAAAAGAAGCGAATATTGAAAATTGTGGTTCACCGCGCGGAACTGTCGGAGTGAGTTGCGGCGCACCAACTACAATTACTATTTTCTTTTCGCTGATTTCGTTCGGACTCGGGCGACGGACCTCGCCGAAAAGGAAGGACTGCTCGTACCCTACAAAAAGTCATTTATTCTCGTATACCTCTCAAAAAGGTTTTCTTCACTTTTAACCATGTTTATGTGTTCTATCAAACCCGTGATATGTATTTAAGTCAGTTGATAGGAGTTGCGAAATTGGTTCCACACACTGTGCTAACATCGACTGTCATGAGCATATAAATTTGCTATTCGTATTTCTGTGTAATGCGAATAGTTTTATTAATGATTCCATATCTGTTTTTCTCGTTGAAAAGTAGCTTTTTTCGCACTTCAGTTCAATTGGACCTTTGAGGTAAGTTTATTCTTTCACCCTGGTCGGACTTGATTTCGCATGCAAAGAGTTTGAAATAAGCATGTTGCAACTTGAATGTGATATACTTATGGTTAAGTATCTTGATGAAAAAGACTGTTTGAATAATATGGAGGATTACACCATATGCCATACGGTGACAAGGTTAATTTAATGTTGTTTCATGTTATTTCAATGTGTTGTGTAACATATTTCTGATGTAGAATTTCCATTGGTCGAAGTAGTTGAAAGTCCATGCAGTTTGCAACGGATTGTTCTAACAAACGATGGCTCCTCAGCCACAGGTTAGTTGTTTATCATATAAAGACATTTGAAATGACATTAACCTTCATAATTATAGACCTGAAAGGATGGCACTTTTTCCTATAAAGACTTGATAATTTCATTCCATTTGAACAAAGTGGCTCGCACTTTTCATGAGGTAAACGTGAAACTGTGTCACGCCCTTGGGAACTATTTTTAGAACTTTGTAGGGGTTCCTCTCTCAGAGTACCATCCCCACCCAGGAATATCTGTGGGTGCCAGCACATTGTAAGGGAAACTTTATCAGTTGCTGGGAATTAACCTGCGTCGGACTAATATCCGATCCAGGGGATGAACAACGTTCGTGGTCACTTTATTTTAGCAGAACCAAGTTAAGCACCCTTTGTGTAAGCCACTTGGTCGATAACCTGAGAGTCTTCATGGAAAAAGAGTCACTTAATGGCTCAGTATGTTACAGGTTTTCAAGTTATCATTTTGCTTGTCATTTCGGTTTGGTTTGCCTTTTAAACATATATAGCTCTGAAGGAGTAATTTTAAAAGTTTTTATTTTTTAATTTTTGATATTCGTATGTTTTAGCGCTAGAAAACTATTTAATTATTTTGCTGTGACACTCAGGTAATGCTTTAATTTCGCATATATATCTCTAAAGAAGTAATTTTTAAAAGTTTTTATTTTTTAACGTTCGTATGTTTTAGCGCTAAAACGCTATTTAATTATCTTGTTGTGACACTCCGTTACATATACATGTTATTTGTAGTTACATATACATGTTATTTTCGAGAACATCATAATGACCAGCTTCCAGTTGGCTCCTTAGCTTAGTTGGTAGAGCTCTGCACCGGTATCGCAGAGGTCATACGTTCAAATCCCGTACGGGCCCGAATTTTTTTTTCAGGTCTTATTTTCACTACAAGTTGAGTAGTGTTCATAAATACGAGTATCGCTTCCATATTCGTAAATTAGCGTGAATTTGATTTTGTTAGTTAGCCTACACACAAACTCATTGTTTTGGTTTTTTTAGGTTCAGTTAAAGTAGTTGAACTGTTTCATTATTTTTTGTTTTGCCTTGTACGAGAAATCTGATATCGTCAACGGGATTCTCTTCCGTAAAGATATTCCATTAGGTACAATGTGAAAATAACACCAACTATTTTTTTAATATCTGGGCCCAGTTGTTCAAAGAGTGGATAACGCTATCCAACGGATAACTGTCAAGAAAACGTGCTGCGCTATCCACCGGATAGCGATTTATCTAGTGGATAGCGTTATCCAACCTTTGAACAACCGGGATCTGGTAGTTTATGTTCAAATAGTTGCGTATTTATTTCTTAATTAGGTAGCCTAAATTTGTCGTAGGATTTAACCAGTAGCAAAAGCTGGAAGAACCCGGGAGTGGTTCTGGTGATTTATGTACCTTGCGAGCGGGCTTTCTTGACAACTGCTCTGCTCAGGAGTATATCAAAATTGTTGTCTTAGGTGCTATAGAGGGGTCTATAGATAACATAAGGGGTCTAATCATAAAAATTACAATTCCCACCATTGTCTTTAATCCACTTGCCAAATTGTTATCAGACAGTCTGTTATCGAACAGTTTGTAGTTTAAATCAACCAATCACAGCCTTGATTTTAATCACCATAGAATCAAACCATTTACGCCTCCTTGTCAGTCTTTTAATACAAATTTTATCTTTCTTTCATAACTTGGCTATTGTTCTTTTCTGGAAAATTGTAATTTTTAGGATTGATAAGGATGAACACGTGTATGATTATAGACTGAATTGGACTCCACTCAGTCTTATTACCGGTACCATTATTTATTCCCAACTATGATTTTGTTGTATAACTGCTCTTTTGGTTGATGATTACAAGACAGATATGTGGTTCATCGTCCAAGGAGCATGTGTTTTGCGCGAAAAAAGGATACCTCAGTATACCTCGCTGTTGTGTACCCTGCAATTCTGCACCAGAAATTGAAAAAAAAAACTGACTAGGGAAGAACAGAATTAAGCTTGATCTAGAGGTTTAGAAAAAAAGGCTTTAAAAGAGAGAACGAGAAAGGTCAGTGATGGATAAGGTTTTACACGGATTGCAAACCGCAAATTTGTCAAAACGCAGGCATCCCAAACTCCTCTTCTGCGTCCAGAATGCAACATGCATCGCTTTTATGAATGAATAGACAATTTTGCGCTTCTCGAGACGTGAACTAGGGACAGCCGTGGTAAAAACTCTTGCAAAACTTTTAGGGATGCTGAAACTAATGGTGATTAAGCTCAAGCTCCCCTAAAGTAAAGAAGTAGTCTTATCATTTCCATTCGGGCAGTTAGGCAGTCATGCCAAATAGTGCGAATGAGTTATTTAGTTAGTTTTAATGTCTAGTCATTACATAGTCATTAATTTTTACATTAGTCATATATGTGACTCTAAAAGTTGGCTTAAAACAATTTTTTTCCTTTTTGTGCTAATTTATTGACGAATCAATTCTTAGTACTTTTGTTTTAACCCGGTAACTCTCAAGATCTCTTTAGTAATTCTCCTTACTGTCTGCCATACAATTCTTATACATATATACATAAAGAGTAAAATTTTGACTTACGTAAGATAGTGCTCAATACATAGGAGTAGATCGATGTATATATTATGGGAGGAAAAAGACAAATAAACTACTAGTTCATCCCTACAGACCTGTTTCGTGGTTGCCCACTCATCAGGGGATGAGATGATTGCCCCCTGATGAGTGGACAACCACGAAACAGGTCTGTAGGGATGAACTGGTTGTTTATTTGTCTTTTTCCTCCACAATATATACATATATACATACATATACTTTATTAAAAATGGATATATACTTAGCTTAAGAGCTAGTTTACAGGTATTCCACCTAATAACTAAACAAACCTAACAACTAAACAACACTAATATCACGGTACATCAGATAAAATCATGATTTAAATATTGATTAAAACTATTTAAAACTATTATTACAATATTACCGCCATAGTCAAAATACTAGTTAAAACTAATGTTACAAATTTACTAATCCCCGTAATTTAACGATCTAATTCTGTTTACTATTTCATTGGTGCCTACTTTTATTCTTTCATTTGTCATTTGATAGTTCATTCCATGCTTATGATGTCAATTTGGAGAATTTGGTATTGGATTAACTTATAATTCCTGAGTTGATATTTTCCTTTATCCTCATCACTTCTATGCTTGACATTGTATTGATATTGTAAGGAGAAATTCTCTCTTGGTCACTCATGAGAGGTAAAGGGTTAATTATTGATCATTCCAAAATTACAGTTGAGTCCTTTCTCTTGCACAGTATGTCACCATAGCAACACTACAACCTTGATTTTTGCTTAATGTGCCTGAAATTCCTACTATTAAAGTTTGATAACCTGCAGTCATGGTGTTAAGATTAATCTTTTCCCAAAGCTCTCAAAATATATTTTACAGCTTCAGAGCTTGGATTAATTAATGGTAGTAAATGTGCGCATTATTTTTATGGGAATAAAAGAAGAAAGGTGACTGTATTGATCAATCAGAAAATTAGTATAAAAAGAGAGGAGGAAATAACAAAACCCTTTTGAGCTACCTTAGGTAATATAATTTGTAAACAATTATGTAATACAGATAAAGGTGATTAGTGGCTATTAAAAGTTTCGTTTGACTCAAGTGTTCCGTATTATTTGATAAGACTGGAATTTCGCTGTTAGTGGGGACCTTTACGTAACTGCACGTCACAAAACCACTTTCTTTGCCTTGTATTCACTTTGATTGGGTTGGTCTTGAACAATGCGTTGCTCAAATTGTAACTGGGTGGTTAAGACTGGTTTTGCATCTCTGAGAAGAGGCAAAAAGTATCGAAATCTTTATTTAGCGATTTTACAAATGAATTAAATGGTTAGGTGATAAGTTAATTCAAAACCAATTTGTGAGTGGATGGTTCCAACTGAACTATGCTAACATGTTACGTTCACAGAAAATCTTTGCCTCGTACTCTGTTGATCACACAGGTGCGCGGATCTCCAATCCGCCACATCGAGAGAAGAGTATAATTCAGAAACTATGACCTATCTCCGCCCCTGTTTGGATGGTTTTGAAACTTTACCTCTCATAACGGTTTGCTCGGCATAAATATTTTAATGGTCTTGTGTATTCAATATTGTTTGATGACACCGGGATTTTCAGAAAGATTGAGTGCCACGAGGCTGCCGTCATTGCTTTTTTGTTTACTTTGATTGCCTGAATTTTAATTTATAACTAAAAATGACACTGCTAGTGTTCAATAACATGGCATTTTTGAAAGTAGAAAAATTGGCTGAAATGTGGCTTTTGCATATAGCTGGCTGAGTTCGAATTCTAAGATTTTTTTAAAGAAATGATGGGTCAGTCTCATCGGATGCGCTTTACTCAAATCTTTGACCCTAGCTAACGACATCATGACTGTTTGCTGATGTGAAGTAGCAAGACGTGCTCTATTATTGTGGTTTACGGCTCATAAAAATTATCCAGTCGTAACGCGGGAAATGTCGTAAAAAAAAGAGACATGCCTTCGTGTGTTGAATTGGTGAGCTTCATAAATATGTGGCAGCTTAGCACAGTTCACTTAGTGAACATTAACAAATTGGAAGTTGCTTTATTTTTCCTTTACTACAAAAACAAAATTACACTGAGCTTTCATCACCTTCAGGGTAAAACACGAACCTCCATATTAGTTAGCAATTCAAATTTTTTCCTCACGATCATCTACAATATTTTCGCATGCGGTTCAAACTTAAAGTTTCCGGCTCAAAGTTGCCATGTACTAACGTTAGACCGCTTGTTGACGAGAACAATCCATGATTGCTTTAAAATGGCTTTCTTCAAAGTAAAACTGTCGAAATTCGAACAGAAATTGTCTCACAAAATGAAAACAACTTTGACATTGAGAGACACGTGAAAAGACAACCTCGTTCCTGGCCTCTCTCGCTTGATTGGCCAGGCCCACCTGAAGGGGAATCCCCTAATTCGAGTTTAGAGTATGATTAATCACGAGACACGATCTTGTTTGTAGACGTTTTGGCCTCTGTAGGCGGATGTTTACAGGTATGTCTATTTTCAAGTTTATCTCATGATAAGCCCATTTAGACGTCTTTTAAAATATCAAGTGTTCATTCCTATTTTATGCTCGAAATAGGGTCGAAAAGAAGCCAACATTCGATGCAACATTGCATCGCATTGTGTTCGCATAGAACGTTAAGTGTTCAATGTAGATCTTTCCAGTTCGCAGTGAAGCGTGTATTTTAAATGAGTTTGCCCGCCGATAAAGAGGTGATAGTCGCTAAGTGTTTTCAAGTATGCGACAACCTGTCGCTGTAATGATCTACTCTTCCATTAGACGGCATTTAAAGATGCCGACAAGCTGTGAAAATAATCCGTTGTTTCGGTAAACTGTTCATCTTGCGTAACGCACGATCGCCGGCCATGCAAGCTGAAATTGCCTTACAAGATGCTGAATGTTTTCAAAAAAATGCTAAAAAGTTCTAGATCAGAATAAGAGAACTGGTTCGTTAGTTTTCATTCTAACCATTGTAAGTGAATATTTTCAATAACATCTAAGGATTCTTCAAACGTCGCATGGTTTGTTCTGTTAATTGTTTTTTCTACGCATGAGCTGAAAAAGTGCCTATCGAAGCATATTCATTTTTTACTTCTGAAATGGCCTCTGAAGTCTTATGAAGAGCATTCCGCTGTTTATATGAAGGACTTGAATCCCCGATTAGACTCGTGATTAATTTTGCTACACTTATGGTGGATTTCATACTTTAACAGAATGAAATCCACCATTAGTGTTATTATAAACACTCGTGTAGTTAACCTCGAGTGATTCTTTGTTTTCTCTTTAGATTAACAACTAGTAAGAATGCCTGGGTTTAGACTGGTTGGCTTTGCACAAATTCCTGCTAAATACCTTTGTAAGTCATGTGGTCTGCTATTGCGAGAAGCAGTACAAACCTGTTGCGGTCACCATTATTGCAAAACCTGCCTATTGGAGATTTTAACTCATGAACCGTGAGTAGATTGCAATTTCAATTTTTCTTTAATTTGCAATAGACTTAACAAATCTGGGGAGGTCTTATGATGTGATTTGCCGAAGAAGATGCTTTAAACATCTCCTAATTATAATGCATGTCATATGTGTTCACTGACCACCTCATGGGTGCACAATTTAAATATTAAGCCTTCACCGCTATACATTACAATAAATGAGGGAATCATGACGAAACTACAAATGGTTACTGCAGCAATTAGATATACATCTTTAACAGCATGTATTGGTTCCATGCATTGCTGAAACAACACCTGCTAGCAGTTGAATCCATGATTCCCTGTTGACAGTGATCACACTTAATTATCTAAGTACATGCAATGTGATAAATTTGGTTAACTAATGAATTCTTTAATGTTTATACTCTTCAGGTCTTCAGGGTCTGTGAAGTGTTTAGATGAGAGTTGCAACAGACCATTGGGGAAAAACTCGGTAAGTATGTCTATTTATTAAATTTGGAGTGTTGGAATGTAATATGTTTATTTTTTTGGTAAATTTTCATGTTCTATTTAATTTTTATTTAGAAAGTTTGCATCAGGAGTGATAAGTTGGGTGAATGACTGTCGCAAGTAGCATATGTGCACATTATACAATGCTGGGTAATTTACACATTTTCTCATCAAACGTGACCAGATCTCGTTTACTATGTAATGAGAATACTGTACAAAAATTTTAAGATACAATTGTACATTTAGCTGTGTTGGTGCAGCTACATTGTTTTTAAACCTTTTCACTTTCAGAGCTGGTTAAGAATTAATTTCCCCTTTCAATATATTAATACACTGCATGGCAAGCAGATCAAAGATGGTAATCAGAGTATAAAGAGAGAGATATAAATTAATGGATATTATTTTATTTAACATTACATTATTGATTATTATCTTACATTATTGATTATAGAAAGTAAAGAGAAAAATTACCATTGAGATCTCAGGAGTGATTGTGGGTTTGGAATAAAAGATTGACTTGTTGTGCAGTTACAGATCCTTAATTATTGAATGAGCATCTATTATTGGTAATGTTGATAAATGTTGGCAAACTTCAATGACTTTCTTGTTTCACTCTTTTCAATTGACAGTACTTTGATGACAACAGTTTTGGAAGAGAGATACTGAACATTGTAACTCTGTGTTTGTACAAAGATGCTGGGTGTCAATGGATGGATGCTGTCAAAAATGCAGAAGTGAGTACAAAGATAACTTTAATACTAGATAAATTAATTAATAAAATGTCTTCAAAAAGTTGATCAAAAGACTGTTTAAAATGTTTCTTCTTTATTGGTTTGTCAAATAACTCTGATTGAAACATGAATTTGATGTACCTCATTTCCCCTTTCAAAACAATTAAGATGGATGTTTTGGAAATCTGGAGATGTAAGATCTTAAACCTCCAACAATATTAAAAAAATATAAACCTTAAATTAACTGAAAACCTGTATAGTCACTATTTGCAATTTCTGTTCTTTGAATTGATTAGGGGTGTTTTGATTCAATAAAATATGGTATGCCATGGATAAAAGGTTTTTATTTTGAAGTATGGTCATTTGAATGCCAAAATAAAAGTTAAAATGATAGATAACCCTATAGTTGCTCTGTTTATTTATAACCTTGGAATTAATATTGTAAAACTATAGACTGAAAGACTTATTTTGCTTAATATTTGGTAATCATTTAATTTGCACATTGTGAAGTCCTATTGGCATGCATTGATTGTTCCCTAACATAATTTATAGAAAATTAAGATATGTTTGATTTCTGTATACATTAATATGGTGACTGAGTTTCAGCATTTTTCAGGCTGCTTAACAATTTAACAGCCATGGCAAGTATAAAAAAAGATTTTGGCTCTTAAATGTCCAGTGTAGCATGCTGTAATTGGCAGTCATGTAGCAAGATCATGTTATATATTGATTATTGTTGGGTTTATATGGTTTGAAGTAAAAGTGAAATATAAACATTTGGAATGGATAAAATGTTGAGTAATATAATTATTACTCATAAGGGGTGTACATAAGCACAAATTGTTCTCTTCCTTTTTCTTGGTTTCTGAATCAATATTTTAGGTGATCATTTCCTGATATTATGTCACCAATGTTAATTAAAAACAGTTAAGCCTACATAGGAGTCCTGAACATTGTTAAAGTTAGACTTAGCTTTTAACTACTATATACACATGTATATCTGTGATAAATTTACATAACATTGTGTAAGAAGTATACATTGTAAAATGTTTTTAACATAACTAAAATAATGATAAGTACTTTTGATTCTCATATTATTTTCATTGGTTTGAAGGATCATTACCGAGAGTGCAATTTTAAGCCAACTACGTGCACCAATGCTGGCTGTAATCAAAACATACCACTGTGTGCATTAGCCCAACACCAGGAGAAGGAATGTCCCTTTAGAAATGTGGTGTGCCACTCATGCAATTCAGCAATCAAATGGACTGAGAACGCAGTAAGTTGCCAACAGTACATTCTGGAAGCTTGAATGTACATGTAATTAAGACTTTAAAAGTATTAGCTTATTCTTAAGAGATACTTGCAGGTTTGAATCCTTCTTTGATACCTTTATTGGCTTAAAGAGCAGTGAGGCTTGCAGATTATTGAACAGATAAGTTTTTCCAGGAAAAGGATCCTCAGAAAGTTTGGTTGATCAATTTAGCAGAGGAAAATAAGAAACTTATTCATCAGAATTAACTCATATGTTATCTAATTACTTACATATAACTTAAACTGATATCCATAGCATACTATTTTAGGCTACAAAAATGTCTAGCTGTCTCTAAATAAGTGCATGTTCCTAATTCATTAATGAAATTGACAAATTACTTTGACCTGGAAACCCAGTGGAATGGCCATAATTGCCAAATTCCCATTACCAAATTAATTTGTTCCCAAACTTTATTAAAATTGCAGAGTCATGTCTGTGAATACATGCATGTCACTTGCCCAAATTGTGGGAAAGAAAACATTGAGCTCCGTGAGGTATGGTGCATGTACAAAAATTAATGTAAGACACAATCAATTCACATTGCAGGAAAAAAATATCCTTTGTTTTCTTTGTTATTTTTCTTTTCATTTGTTAACATTAGATCATTCCACTACATGTCTATCAGTACTCTATCACCAATGGTTAACTTTAAAAAAAAAAAAAAGGGGATCAGGTACTCCTTTTTTCTATTATCTCTTTAAATTGTCTGCAGTGCAAGCAAAACCAGGGTGAATGCAATGGATGGTAGAGGGGGAAACAGTTAGTAAAAACTTCTATATTTCCTTAATTCCCTCCCCCTCCATGGTAGCCTATGCATGCTTGCTTTGTTTCCTTGCTTAACTGCTGTATATACACAAAGAAAACAAACAAACTAATGGCTTTTCATCAACATTTAATCCTTTAACCCCTGAGAGAAACCAACATCTAATTTCTCCTAACAACATCGCCCCTGAATCAAACATTAAAGTCATGAAAATAAAGGAGATGATCACCAGCTAAAGAAGCTCTTGATTGTTGAACAAATTATCCTTTCTATGCATTCTCATGTTAGAGAGGAAAGGGTTAAACAAAGCTAGGTTGAAGAAAATACAAGAACATTAAAGTGCCACTCTCAAGAATTTACAAGATCTAATAATAAGTATACAGTCGAACCTCGATTATCCGGACCCCGATTATCCGGACTATTCGATTATCCGGACTTTCTCCTCTGGTCCCAATTTTCCCATGAATATTAATTAGTTGTGATCTTGAAAACTCAAAGTCGCAAAAAGCCCAATAAACCTTTCAAAAGACTGTTGAAACAGCGTATTATTCTGTGCGCTTTTCAAAATTCGAAAGTGCGACGAGACAAAGAAATATTCTGATGCGTTCAGCTGATATATGGTTGGCTCAATTGTTTTGTTGCCAAGGGAATTTCATGCTTGATTAGTTCCTTCCACGTGGGTTATGTAAACACACGAGCGATCGATCGTAAACTCAAATAAAAAACATGCCTACGAAGCGAAAGCTAGCCGTTCTATTGATTAAAGATAAGCAGATAATTATTTCACATTTCTATCCTATTAATCTTCATATTTTCTATTATCCGGACTCTCGATTATCCGGACTCTCGATTATCCGGACTATTTACCGAGGTCCCGATGAGTCCGGATAATCGAGGTTCGACTGTATATTAATTAGAACATAATCAGTTGTAATAAATAATTAAGGCTAACGAAAACAAAATAAGATGAATTATGATAAGAATTAAATTTTATTTCTTATTTAATAGCAATTTCAATTTTATTTAATCTTTGAAAGAATTAAGAAAGGAGTTAGAAGGAAAAGTTTTGATATTGGATGACTGTTACGCTGCCCTGGAGTAGCCCGCCATCATAAAGTGTTGTTGTTCAGAGCTTTAATTAATTATTACCTCTTTGCTCATTACAGTTGAATAAGCATTTAGATGCAAAGGATGGAGATTGTACACAGATGGAGTGTCCATACAGAGAGTACGGATGTGACCATCCTGTAAGTTTAATTGTTAGTGTAATTTGTAAGTTAAACAAGAATCAAGTTTATCTTGGGGCATGATGGGTTTGAATATTGCAAAAAGTAATAAAGCCATAACAGCCAATGAGTACTTGTACCTGCAAATAAAATATCAAAGGAACTAATGAGAACTCAAAGTGATTAAATGTAAAATGTCGTAAAAATAGTCAGTGCTCCTGTAGCAACCATTCTTTGGGATGTCAAAAAAAAAAACTCAACAACTGATTTGTAGAGTTAAGCGAGGGAAAGTTCCCTTGACTAATCTCTTACTGTAGTGATGTTCAATTGTTTCAATTGATGGGTTAATTTTTTTTTACTCCCATACAAATTCTTGAAATTTTTGACTGTGCTTTAACCTGGAAAATGAAATCTTTAACTATCAACGCAAGATTAAATTTCAAAGAAATTTTCTCTTTCTTCAATTCTCTCCTTTTTTTCCGATGGCGAAAGTAACACCGGATTGGACCAGTGTTGCCTTAAGGTTACCCTCTTCACCAATCAAATAAAAATTTGAAACTTATTACGACTTGGTTATCGCTCTTTAAATCACTCTGGTTTTTGATTTTTTGAGTTCTCAACTTTTGTTGTGATTGACTGTTGTGGTTTGGTCTTACAAGTTAGATTGGCTATACATACGAAGTGAAAAGGTACTCTTTATTATTTTCAAAGACTACTCTTTCGTAAAGAATTTATCTTTTAAAAGCCGCATTTTTCTTGGTTTGTGCATCTGGAAGAAACAAAAAGTTAGCTAACAAAAGTTGCCAACAACATTAGGAAAGCTTGGTGAAAGGGAATTTCCCTTTACAATCTCTTTTACAAGAGGATTTCTTCACATAAATTAGACTTAAAAAAAACTTTTTCTTGGTAAAATTTTCATTAAAAGTTCTCCGAGTTCAAAATTGGCATGTCAACTTTTGGACAAGAGAACTGATTGAGGGAAAACTTGTCATTTGCACCGCCGTAAAAATTCGGCTTAACAAATGTTATAATAATGTTCGGATATAACAAGCGCTATCATTTTTTGAAAGATCCATTTCTAGGTTTACTACGTACATAAGAAAAGCTTTTCTTATGTACGTAGTAAACCTTGAAGTGGATAACTCACCAAAATGGGTTCTTTTCAACATAGTAAGCGGTCAGATAGCAAGCGATGCGCTGTGAAGTAAGGTGGGGTATTTTAATTGAGAATTTGAATGTATTTTTTATTCCTTAGAGCGGTCGTAAATATTCCCATACAAACTCATCTCACAGCTGGAGCTTGGGCCATCTGTGGTCCATCGCTGCTAGCTCATCATGGCGATCTCCGGTCATCGCAGTGAAGCAAGCCTCAGAAAATACATCGGCCGCCCTTCGAGTGAAAAAATAAGAGCTTCCTCTGATATCCTTCCTGATGCGTTGAGTGGAAGGCCGCATCGGTCACTGCAGCCGAGTTTTACGGCGCTGTCATCACGAGCGATCTTCATGTTCTGGTGAATTCGGCTTTCGTTCATTCATAAAACAGTCGCCTTCCGCAGTTTGTGTTCCTCTTGTCATGTGGAAAAAATGCGTGTTTTTACGAGCACAATTCGGCTGAAGATCACTGAACATTTCACTTTCAGATTCTGTATTAGAGACTAAAAAAACTTTAGGCAAAAGTATTAAATTCGACCTGCCGAACTAAGTTTGTAAACTATCGCAGAAGGTGAACTTTGATGGTTTTGACATTTTTGACAGCTTTAGTCTTGTACAGCCTATCAGATTATTTGAACCGTTCCAACAGGGATTCTGATTGGCTTATTGTAGCGTGCTTATGAGAGTATATAGCGAGCTGACGACACTGTCGTCCGCTTTGGAAATAAAGTTCGTTTTGAAAATTGAAAGTAATGCTTGGGGAATTTAACGGATTCTTTATTATAAAACAAACGGAGAAGCCTTGACTGTGCTCTGTTTTGTTGTAAAGCACTTACGAAGCAGCTAGATTCTCGTGTTTCCCCCTACACTACTTTCGTGCTCTAACCGCTTGCTGCGTACTTTCTAACAGAACAGAGCGCAGTCAAGGCTTCTCGATTTGTTAAATAGGGCAACTTGAAAATATTTTTGACTAGCTCTGTTTATTTCTCCTTTAATCAACTCAGGAGAGGATGAATTCCGTAGAGCTCAAGACTCATCTAGACGCCTGTGTTATAACGCATCAGTTGATTTTCTTGAGACAGCACAAAAGATCAAGCACCAATCAACATCCATGCGATGTTGCCGACACTGAGGCCGAGCTTGGGGCCTTGAAACGAAGTCTTGTCTCAGCTGAAACATGTCTTTTAAGACACGATTGGGCGCTCAGTGATCACTACCAACTGATTATGCACTTGAGAAAAGATGTGGAGGAATTGAAAGATCTCGGGGTAAAGAAAGATGGTCAGTGATTCTTTGGGTTAGTTGTTGTCAGTTTTCTTGTTCTTGACCACACGGTTACATAACTTAACATCTAATTTAAGGTACAATTAGGTAAAGGAACATACTGAATACATGTAAAAGTAGTTTAAGTTTTTATTTTGGTTGTTAGTTCCACACTTTTGGTTAGTATTTAGACGTATATATTTTTTTATTGTAATGCAGAGAATCATAGTTACATGAAGTAAAGCTTGAGTGACTTGAGTGAAATGGATAGAATTAGCAAACGGTGCGATAGTAGCATAGGAGTATAAAAGGGAAGGGGACTTGGGTCGACTGAGGAACCAGACCCAAACCTCTCTCGGTTTTCCACTCTTCCCCAACTATAGCGCTCTTTGCTATTGCGCTCCGTTCTACTAACTAATGCTTGGCACAGGCTAAGAAAATAGTTTAAAGTGTTTATAGCTTTTTAGAGGGCCAGTTCTCGGTAGATTTGTACATAATCTCGTACAGTCACGTTAGGATATTTGTAGTACATTTATTTTAAACATATTTTATTTTCCGTATGTTTATGTTTGTGGAAAAATGTGGTCAGGCGCATGAAAATCTAATAAAACTGTTTGTAGTAAAGCTATTAAAATAGTCCTTTAGATGTTCATGTTTGCCGTATTATAACAGTGAAATGTCTAGACTTCGCTCTTTTTAGGCAAGGGGTGAAAATATTGTTATTGTATTATTCAGTTATTATTATTATTATTATTATTATTATCAGTATTATATTTCATTCATATTCACAACTAAGCGCGTCGAATGTGAAGATATATGCTTTGTCTTTTAATTGCATTGCTTTTCATATTTTTTTCAAAGAGCCCCTTTCCCCCACTTTTTTTTCCCATATATGGCTTAAATTATGATCAGGGATTGCTCTGATTGATCAAAGTTTTGAATCGGGAAGATGTAACAACTTTTAAGGTTAGTTTTTGTTTTTGTGAGATGGACGAAAATGTTCAATGAATAAGAAGATCAGGACGAATTTCAGCGACGCCAAACCTGCGAAATGTATGCGAAATTGCTCATAAGAGGCGCAAAAAGTTTTGTTCATCATACAAACTGTGAACTGCAGGGTATTCACGGTCACAAACATGGATGCATGGTTATCATCAAATTAGAATTTTTAAAGATGCTACGATTATCACTTGAGAAAGGCGCAGTAAGAGTTTGCTGACGGGGTTTTGATCTTGAAATTTTGGTGTTGTCACGGGCAACCTTCCTCATTTACAGAGGTAACCGAATTTCAAGAGCCGCGCGTCGCCAACCACCAAACGTGAAAGCCCGCCAAAAGAGCTCAAACGAATGGAAATGGAACTAGTTTCCCGCCTGTGAAAACAACACAGTTTGCTGATCTTCTGTCGCCTCTCACTCAATTAAGAATCGTATTATTTTGGTTTGTATTTAGGTTAGAGGGATTTTCATACTTGTAACAAGTCGTAGTTATGACAACTTATGTTTAAGAGATGATATCTCTAAAATTAGGAAATGACCAGTCATGTTTCACTATTTAACAGCTTAACGATACCAGATATTTTGGAAGTACATTACAGAGGCTCATCGGTTTCCTGGATTGTTGGTATCTTTAGTTTAACGGATTAATATTAGTACAACTTTTTATTTGTTGCTTCAACAAAGTGGACTTGATGAGCACGTTGCTATAGCAACAAATAAGCTCAAGCTTCTTAAACCTTATGTGCCTGTAAACTTTGTAAACAAGTCCTATGACCCCCGAATCGGCAAATTGCAATACCTAAGCATATTTACATTATTTTACTCAAGAAAACGAACAATAATAGGGTATTGCTGATAACATGAACGCAAATCAGTTGAGTTTAAAAAATTGCGAAACCGTTTTGAGCCTTAAATGATAACATCGCGAGAGATTATAAAGTATTAGTTATTGTTTTGCTGGGCATTAAATGTGTTATTAGTTTTGTGTATTAAGTGTTGTTTGATGACACTAGGATTATCACTTTTAGAGTGAGGATCTGAGAGATTGAATACCACGAGGCTGCTGTCATTGCTTTTTTGTATTCTTTGATTACCTGAATTGTAAAGATTCACCAAAAAGGACACTGCTGGTGTTAAGTAACGTAGTATTTGGCAAATTTAAAACATTAACAGAACTCTGGGTTACTGAGTTCCAATTCTTGGATCTTTTTAAAAAAGAAATACGGGGTTATGTCATTCTCAGCGAATGCGGTTTACTTGAATCTTTGACCATAACGAGATCATGACTATTTGCTATTTTTTTCATATTTTACCCAATGTACGAATCTGTACTGTAAGAATATTTAAATAATACAGGAGTGGTAATGTTACCCAGGAAAAGGCTTCTATTCGCTTAACAGCAGCTGCCGCTAACGTACAAAACTAGTTTTCGTTGTCGACTCCGATCTCAAGAGGTTGCTTCTCATGCCAGGAAAATTTGAATTTGTGTAATACCTATAATCATACTTGATGTAGATTTTTTTTCTCGATTCTTTTGGAATTTTCTGTAGAAAGATATTAGTTCATTTCAATTTGCGCATGGTCTCACTTATTCTTTATCCTAAGTTTTCGGGCTCCGACTGGTTGCCTAGATAACATTTGCATATCCCAAGATGGATTGCGGTTTCGGTGCATGACCATAAAAGAATTGCCCATTGTAAAGCCCCAATTATTCTCCTTGCGTATCAGAACGTTGTGTTATGTCTGTTCCTAACTGCTTTGAAGGAAAAAGGAAACATTTTAAATTAAATGACGCTAGAAGGTAAGTAGTGATTTATGTAACTACAACTTGCTAGGCAACATTACTGAGTTTGTAAAAGGAGAGATTTTATTTAAATTTAAGCGAGAGAGTGGGAGATTAGAAACTGAGCTTTATTAGGGGCAAAACTCTCGAGTACAGAGCGGATATAAAAAGAAAAGTAGATTGAGAGAGGAAAAACCAGTCGATTCTATGGTGAGGGAATGCTGGCCAGCTATCTAGGTGGAAAGGAAAAATGACGAATTCGAATTTTTAAGTATTTCAGTAGGAATAGAAAATAAAAATTCAGATGTAATCTACTTTAAGCGTGGGCTCGAAGCCAAAGCGAACAATGTTCACACCTTTAAAAAACTTGTTTATATTTGCGTCTTCAAGAGGTGTCTTTATGTTTAGCTAGTCATATTTCAATTCGGTCAATTTCTATAATTTTTTTTTCGAGAAAACTTGAGGGTAAAAATCTTGAAATTAAACAATGTGTACATGAAAAAGTTAAATGTGGATTGTCATGGCATGATTTCATGAAGTAGATTTGTAGACTTAAAATTGGCACTATTATATTATAGATATCCTGGTGTCGAATATTTATCACTGTCCGTAATGACACTTTGGTTACGCCACCTAGGTGGTAAGAGAGCTTTTCCGTTTTCCTTCCAGAAGGTGACCTGGAATTATTTTAAATCTAACAATGCTTAGAAACGAAAATAATTTATGCTTTTATTTAAGATTTCTTGATAGTTTTAGAAATTGTACTCAATAAATGGCTCGTTCTAAAAAAAACTGAGTGGTCATAATCTTACTTCGGTTTTAGAGTAATTTGTAGGCGGAAAAAATTGCAAAATGCAAAATTTGAGCGTAAGCTAATGACAAGTAGTCAAATGAATTAAATTTGGCCAAAACTGAGTTGACACCTTTCTTGAACACAGCATTTCGGCTTCTCTTTGCCAATTATTATTCAGTTTCTTGAACATTTTTAGTAGGTCATCATTAACAAATACACTTGGTTTCTACGTAATCATGTAAAACATTAAACATTGAAACAGGTGCAAGTCCAAATCTTCATTTAAAGGAAGATTCAAAAAGTACTCTAAGCTTTACATTTCCGATCAACGAGTCCTTTTTTTTTTGTTCGGATATTTGCATTGAAGAGCTACAATAGAAATTAGGGCCTTTTGAAATTATGAGTACATCTGCAACCATGAACTGACAAAAGAAACGCGCTGTGGGTTAGTTGTATTATACTGAAAATTAGTGGCGTAGCAATCGTTTGTTCATATCAAGAAAGGTCCTCGTAATGGAGTTAAGTTAGAGGAATTTGTTACATGCTATTTCGAGTACTCTTTGAGTGTTCCTTGTCAAGAGTGTAAAGCAACAATTTTCATTTGGTAAGACAAAACACGAAAAACACAAATGATAACTTAAAAATAAGTTTTCTTTCATTTTCCTTCCAAAAATTCTTTGATTTTGCACAATTTTAGGAAAAAAAAAACATAAATGAAACAAACAAAAATCCTCCCAGATATGGAAGGAACAAATCAAAGACGCTGTCATTTAGTGCGGTACATTTAAGTGGACACCAAGGGCCGGTTATTTAAATGAGGTCTAACCCCAACCGCGGCTTTTACTTCGCAAGCAGTTGGCGTCAGGGATTCTCTATAGGAGGGTCGATTTAATTAAAAAATGCCCATCTACTATCAGCTTTCGGACGTCTTGGCGTACACTGTTCCCAAAAAAAAAAGATCCATATGAAAGGTTTGGCTAAATCGAAGGTGGTTTAGAACGCGGTTTTGTTAACTAACGATTAAACTTTGTTTAAACAATCAACCCCACATGTCGAGAGTTCTGTGAATCCTCTCAAAAATCGATCAGAAGAGGCTTTCCCTCTTTCCTATGGGAGAAAGTCGTGCAATTAAGAAGTAATGAGCTATCCTCCTCGCTTGAACTCTGGAAAGGAGGGGGAAAGAATGTTTTCATAGTCTAGCGCGGCGGTGATTAATTTTATTTACGCTCATTACTTTTGCTTCCCGTGACGGACTGAGCTGAGAAAGGCGGAGTGAACGTAGTTAGCCACAAACAGAACTTTCCCAATTCCCTTGTTTAGCGGCTATATTGCATTGGTGAAACAAAGGAAGTGATTTTCAATATGGCTGATGTGGCATTAGTTGAAAACATCGGCGCGACCTATTCGGACAGCGATGTTAAACTTGGGCTCACTTCATTATCAGCGGCTCAAAAAGCGGTCTAACCAGCGAAGTTGAGTGATAGTTTAGCAGGCTTCCAACACAAAACTCTCTCCTGATGAACTGAATCAGGCCCCGGTTGTTCGAGGGTTGGATAACGCTATCCACTGGATAATTCTTTATACGGTGGTTAACGCTGTAGGTTTTGCTATCACTTATTCACACGATAGTAATTTATCCATTGGATAGCGTTATCCGACCTCTATACCAGTGGGCTTGGGACTACAGCTCTTACCTCACCCAGACTCTTACCATTACCTATGATTAACTATTCATGATATGTCTTTTTTTCTTGCAGTGTTAGTTATGAATACAAAAAAAATTGATAATATGAATTTGAAATTACCAGTATCTTCTAATCATGAGATTAGCAGCAGTATTTAAAAGACCCGGAGAATGGTTGTGTATATAGGTAGTAATGATAACGATAGAAATGAAACAAGTTTGACAGCTAAAAAGCAACAATGAGAGTAATCAGAGAGCTTACGTAAGCGTTCAGTGTACCGAGAAATTAGCTTAAGAACGTGATGCTAACTACATCATGAATAATTTTTGAATTTGACCAGAGCGAGAACTGAGATCAGGAAATAGACTTTTTCCACTAAACCTAAGTACAACGAAAAAAATGAAAATTGTTAAGATTAACCAGGGTAAATGTAGCTGTTTCTACATTTCAGATATGTTATTCAAAATCATTTCATATTTCCACTAGCTAGCAATTAGAATAGTCACGTATCACGGCTACCTAAACAGGAAACTAGCGACAATATTTGTTATTTCTCTGTTACATATAGTTCAGTAAGGAAATATTTTCAGGATCTGGGAAAATTTTAAACAAGCTACAGTGTTGTACACGTCGAGTTGCTCAAATTGTTGAATATTCGTTTCACTCTTTGAAGTGTGGTATCATGTATATTCAGTGATATTGAGTGATACTTGAATATGATTGCTAATTTTGACAATGTATTTACGCAAAAAATTTCAATTAAGTCATGTTAGTACTGAATAATTTTTTTCGGTTTTGGTCGCTGAGGTTATGACTCGTGTTATCGTTTCTTGCAATGTGAAAACAGGTTAGGTGGCAGCAAAATACCGCTCTACTCCCATGTTAGTAGAGGTTAAATTCCTGTTTTGCATTTTGTTTTTGCAAAGCCGCTTGATATGATGATTGGGTCTATTCAAATAAGGACGAAAAGTTATTAATTCTGCGTGCTCGAAAATTGTGACATCTAGAAAGTCAGTTTAATCAAGAGGGGAACTCAGTTTTAAATTTAGTTAAAGTAGTGTTGTTTTTGTTCAAGGCTCTTTCTTTTATTCCGGCAGTTTTAGAGTTGGACGTTTTACACGTTAGCGGAAGAAAGAAAACTTTAACTATAACATCCCTCAAGGCTCCCTCGTCATCAAGCTAATAACATCTGCCTTTAGAAATGGAAAACGAGACAGTTCACTGCTCGTTCATCATTGATAGCCCTCTTAGGAGACTCCGTATGTTTCCCACGAACGTGGCGATGTTGGTGTTGAATGGTGTATTCTGCTTAACAGCCACGGTACAAAACATGCCCGTTATCGCTGCCATTGTCAAGACACCGTCTCTTCACACTCCTTCAAACGTGCTCCTATGTTCGTTGGCTTTAACTGATTTAACAGTAGGCTGCGTTGTTCATCCTGTTTTCGTAGCTTTTAAAGCACGACTTCTGCTGGGCGAGTTCTGGTGCCTCTTGTTGCTTGTCAAAGAAGGCTTGCTCATATACACCGGAATTCTTTCCATGTTGATTTTGCTTGCAATAAGTTTGGAACGCTTGATCGCTCTCCGTTTGCATTTGCGATATGGAGTCCTCATCACTATTCCTCGTGTGTTGGCTGTGGTCATTGTGACTTTGTTGTCATGGGGTCTTGTTGTATGCACTTGGCCATTAGGTGTTAGCATCAACGTTGTTTCCTCAATTAGCGTCGCCATCATGGTGGTGGTCGCCGTTGCATTGGTCGCAGTTTGCGCCGAAATTTTTCGCATTTTACGGAGACATCAGATGGTGATTTGGAATCAAAATAAACTACAAGCTGAAATGTTCAGGTCAGCCTCACGAAGAAGGAAATCTGCAGCCGCCATTTTATATGTTGTCGTTTTGTTTTTTGTCTTTTATTCCCTGAGCGCTTTTGCTACTATTCGTTTCATCTTTACTCAAGATTTCAACATATCCCAAAACATTTTGTGGGACATTGCAGAGACCTTGGCTCTCATGAACGCGAGTGTCAATCCCATTTTGTATTACTGGAAGATGGGGAACATTCGCCGCGCAGTGCGAAGCTTGTTCTGTGCCTCAAATCAAACTCATTTGGCAGCAAACAAAAGAACTGACTACTCAACAACTTTTAAGACCTTTAGGTTTTAATACCGACATGAAACAGTTTATACTAATCATACAGATCAAGTTCTTCTCTAGAAATCAAAAATTGTGTCAAAAACCCCTAGGAAGTGGTCATATTCCTACAACTCTATAAAGTTGTTTGTGGGGAAACAATGCATGTCTCAGCAGATGGTCAATCCACACCAAAATGATACTTGCAATAAAGCCTACCCCTCAGTGTTTGCCCTCAGTGTTTTAAGGTTTGAAGAACACTTATTATGCATTTCTCTATCAAGCATGTTTGAGTGAGAATATTACAGTTCCCCGTCGTAATCAGGTGGATATCCCCAATAACTATGGCCGAAATGTTAAAAAATACTTTACTGTGTGACTGTCATCATCATGAACTAAACTAATTAATTTCAAAAGCATCAAAACATCAAGATGCTAAGTGCTCCATAACAAATAAACAACTGTTAAAATTAACTCCTGTGAAATAAACGAAACATATTTCACGTCAGTGGTCACAAACGATGCTTGAGGCAGTTAAGGAAAATCTCCATCCGCTTCAGGTTCAGTTCAAAGTTTCCAGTGATCTATAAGTCTCACAGCTAACATTGTCATTTCCAACAATAACATTTGTTGAGGTAAGTTCCAGTCGTTCCGCAGCTGTAAGCGTCCATACCTGGGGCAAATTGTGCTGAGATCGTCGCAAAAAAGAGCACTGAAGCTTCTCAACATAAACTTTAATCTCTTTTCGGAATTTTGGATGTCTGAATGCACACAGGCAAGGGTTTAAGCAAGAATTGAAGCTGATAAACACAACTGGAGCCCAGGAGAGCATGATAAAATAGGTTTTAAGGCTTCGTAAAGTGCTTATACTGAAAGCTTTGAAGAGTTGTTCAGACCTGTACACAAACAGTAAAGTGCATACCATTGGTGATATGAAGAATATGAAGTTTGTAAAAACCATTATTGAAATGTTCTTAGCCAAGGTAGCCTTTCGCTTTACACCGGCACTCATGCCTGCTTTTCTAACATGGAGAAAGATGTGAAAGTATAAAGCAATGCAAATGACATAAAACAAAACAAGCAGGGCAGCAACAGCGAGGCCAGCCTCTGACGTGTCCTGTTGATCAGGCCCGTTCACAAATGGCATCATGCATGTGAATTCGCCATGATATCTCAAACCACCAACTTGGAAAACCGGCAGAAGCGAGTAGGCGATCGCAGCACACCATATTCCCGTCACACACTTAAGTGCAGTGGTCTTTCTCAACCTTACTCCCGGATTCATGCAATGCACTATCGATAAATAACGCTCCACCGTTGCCAAAAGAGAGCTTGAAACTGAGACTATTTGAGCCGTCGTGAAAATAACTCCCATTATGGTACAGTAATCATTAACAAATACGTCCATCCTAGGGTAGTTGCCTGCGTTAACTATAAATTCATATACGGTGTATCTGGCTATTAAGACTGAGTAAACACCCATAAAGATGTCACAAACACTGATATTTCCTAGCAAAATGAAGGAAGTGCTAGTGCGAAGCGAACGGCATCCGAACGAAATAAACATGACGACAAGGTTTAAGATTATTGCAATGGCACCTAGAATGTACTCAGTGTAAAATAACTTTCTTGGTAACGTGTTGAGTGTGAGATCATAAGGCAAGTAAATATCTTCCGCGACGCAATTGTCTGACTCACATAAGCATTGTGGTGAAAACCCTCGTTTTACGAAGAGAAGTGACCTTCCATATTCAATCTCTTCCGGAAAAACATACTTCTCTGATGTCACTATGCACGCCAGGTCACTTTCATTTGAACTGACAAGTATTTTAGTGTTAATCAATGTGCAGTTAGCGCAATTAATATTCCACGTGATCCCTCTAATTTCTTTAAGGTTGTGAACTTCAAAAAGATTCTTGTCTGGGAAGTATAAATGGTTTCCTGTGAATTCTACTGTCTGTAGGGAGGGAAGGGTGTTAGCGATATCTCCTCTCCATTCGCGGAGGTCATTAAAGGACAAGTCTCTGAAAAAGAGGCAGTGGTATAGTTGTCATTACGTTAAAAGTTTTTTTAACATTGGTTCCCACTACATCAGAACTTTAACTTTTAATAGCTACTGTTGGTCCTGAATTTAATCCCACTTTTCTATTAACTGCTACTGACGTATTCATTTATTGGGTCCAATCAAGAACGGTTTCGATCTTTCTCACTTCAGAGCATGCTAAAAACTCCAGAGGCTTTATTGTGCCAAATTTGTAATGAAGAGTAATCTGTGTACAATCTGCATTCAGTTTCGTCATTAACCTATTCCAGAGTCCAGCAACTGAATTACTTGTTCTATCTCTAGGGGTCTTTCTTCCACGAGAACGCTTATTTGCGAGCCGATTTCTTCTGAAACGAACATTCAATTTTCGCAGTTATTTATTTGTATGAAACTGCTGTTAAGAACCCAAACATTTTGATGATATCCCTTCCATTTCTAAACTTGGATGATGAATCTGAGTATATATTTCTGACCGTCTCACCAGGCTCAAATAATACTCGCGAATTCTCGAACACTAGGTGAAATTGAATGATATCAGAAATAATTTAACGAAAACTCACAAGCGTAGAAGATTTGGCATAATTGGAAAGGTTCCTTCTTCAATGACACCAATATTATTTCCTAAAAGAATCCTGTGAAAGCAAATGTGGTCAATATCAAGCAGTGCTAACTTCAGTCATAATATCAAAAAACGATACTCCTCGGAAAATTCGGACCTGAAAGTTTATGTAGTATTTGTAGACGTAGTAGTAGTAGTAGCAGTAGCAGTTGTAGCTGTAGCGATACAAGTCGTAGTGATAGCGGCAGCAGCAGCAGTAGTAGTAGTAGTAGCAGCATTAGTAATATAAGTCTTTGTTCACTAAGAAAAACGTGCAAAGTTTACAAAGGTGTAAATAATAAAACAAGAACAACAGCGGCAATCTGTACGAACAACTACTCACCAAAGAGCACTCAAAGAGCACTCTTCCCTGTTCCCTTGTTTAATTTTAAAATACTTACAAAGAGGAGATACTTTTACTTCTGTTCAGTACACAGGACGGAACTTCAACCAAATTGTTTTTGGATAAATCTCTGAAATCAAAATATGAAATAGACTCTGTTTAAATATAATGTTGATTTACCACTTTCGATCTTGTTTGGCTTCATGTAAGATTATCACAGAATTTTCGCGCTAAGCAACGCGGCTGCGCGAGGCAGTGCACTTCACAACTGTCACAACTTGCTTTTCAATGGGAGACTTCGTCGCGTTCGGTATTAAGAAAATCACGTGAAAAGGGAATGAATTCAACAATATTATCCCGGAAATTCAAAGGAAAGAATTAAGGTAAGATAACTGATATATAGAGATTACTTCATGGAAAATGCGCGCGTACGATTTTTATTCACGAGTTGTGTAGTATCAGAAAACGAACGAGTGAGCGCAGCCGCAGCCGCAGTCAGGTAACTCTAGTCGTGAGAGAAATTGGTTTGTGATTGATATAGTTGTTGAGGGGTAAAACAACGCACGAACCTTATGCATGCTGGTTATTAACTTTACCAAGTCGTTTCTCAGCTGCAGCTGACCTGGACGTGAGATTTTGAGATACCATCATCTGCGAAAAATCTCAAACGAATTTTAAACGCATGGTGAAAGTGTTCCCAAGGCCGCGTAGTTTACATTTTCGAAGTGTAAGAGAGGGACTAAACGGTATCACTTACATAAACTATGTAATGACCACGAGGTTTATTCGGTGTGTTTTTAGTCGTCGAATGTTAGAGCGAGTTTAGTTTAGAACGGTCAAGTGTCGGCCGAGATATTTCTTACATTGGTGGCAGCAGTCTGGGATTTTGAGCCGACAAAATGGACAAAGACCAAGTGAAAATACCCGAAGGTGCCGATGGCGGCAACCGCCAGATTTCCCGCCGGAACATAAGCCGGAGAAACTGATGAAGAGTGAACCGAACGAAGGGAACAGTGACCTGCAGCAGTTAGTACAGGCGCTTAAGCAGAGTATGATGATGTCGAGTGAGGTAAGCGAAGCGAGGAGAAATGTACGAGCACTGCGTGTTTACTCAGCGGGACAGAGCTTTAAAACATGGTTATCCTAGTTCGTGCAGTATGCCGACCTTGTGCACATCAAGCCGTCGGATCGTCGAGCATATTTACTCACAATGTTGGACCAGCCGGCCTTTAAGGCGGTGGAACTTCTCAAGCTTTCAGAGTTCTTGTCATTTGACGATTTTACGGCACAGTTGATAAAGAGATTCGATTCGGGTAAGACGAGGGAGGACTACAAGGTACAGCTTATCCATTCAAAGTGGAGTTGGCCAGAGATCAGTTAATTCAAGGATTGGTAGTGAGTAATGAAATACGAGAGAAGTTATTTATCAGTCAATCGTGGAGGCAGTTCGCGTGGTTCGCCAATTAGAAAGCGCGCGTAAATCGTCAAGCGGCTCCGTCACTTGAGAAGAAGCAATCCATGAGTGTAGACAGCACCTCGGCTGGAAACGAGAGGATTTCGACAGAGATACGTGAGCTTAAGGAACTTCTTCTGGGCGTGAACGAGAAAATTAAGGAACTAGAAAGAAAAAACGAGACAAGGGCAACAATAGCTCCGAGGCGCCGTGATGACGCGGTGTGCTATTCTTGCCACCGACGAGGTCACTTTGCGCGGGAATGTCCAACTAAAGTATCGGGAAACGTAAGACGGGGCCTGCGGAGGGCCAACCAGTCCCCGTAGGACAAGGTCAGGTAGGCCTAGTAGAAACTGATTTTATTATGGAGAATTTCGGAGTGTCTCGAAATGAAAGTGTGCTGTCCGTCTTATCAGAGTCTGGGATTTATGTTTCGGGACTTGTGAATCATCGTTTGATGTGTATACTGTTGGACACTGGTGCTACTGTCAGTGTGTTGAGTGAGAGTGCTTGGAAAAAAGTGGAATTGTTTTAAAACCGGAGCCAATTGCTGGAAGACTTACTACAGCGGACTGTTCTGGGAGAAACTGAAGTGCGAATTCGCATGGGAAAGATTGAATGCTCCTGGCCTGTTATAATAGTGCAAGGTTTAGCCCATGACTTTGTACTAGGATCAGATTTCTTTCAACACTATCAGTGTCAAATTCACTATGACACAGGAACTCTTGCAGTAGGAGATTCGGAAATTCCCATCAGATACCGCAAGACTACACCAAGTGTTTATAGAATCTTTTTATGTGCTGATGCAGAGCTAGAACCGGGGACTGAACAAGTGATAAGAGCTAGATTAGAAGGAGGTTATGAACAGAATTCCGGAAGCCCTGGAATCCTGGAGGGGTCAAAAGAACTACTGGGGACTTCTGAGATAGGTATTGCTCGTTCCCTAGTAGTGCCAAAGGCAGGACAGACTCTTGTTCGAGTGGCCAACTTCTCCGACAAAGTTGTCAGATTACGATCAGATCTCCCTGTTGCTGAATACCATCCTGTCAGCGGTGTAAATGGCAGTGCTACTCCTACCGAAATTGGCCCCCGTCCATCAGCACCTAACCATCCATACTGCTCAGTTATAGACAGGAATATGCAAAAGTTATTCAGCCAAATTCAGACGGGCTTTCAGAGGAGCAGAAAAGGCAATTTTACCTACTGACAGACGAATATGAGGGCATGTTTGCAATGAAAAATTCTGATTTAGGAAAATCAGATCTTATGGATTATCAAATTAACATTGGTGAGGATGCTCCGATTAAGCCGCTTCCTTGTCGCATACTACCGCACTAGAGGGAGATCATAGATCAACAGCTGGACGAGCTGCTAGCAAATGGCAAAGTTGAAGAGTCACAGAGTCCCTGGAGTAGTCCAGTTGTTTTAATAAGGAAACGTGATGGAAGTTACCGTATGTGCATTGATTACGGCGAAGTGAATTTTTGTACAGAGAAAGATGCAATACCGTTACCAAGGACCGATGATGTCTTGGAAGCACTGGGTGGTGGCCAATGGTTCTCCTGTCTCGATTTAGCGTCAGGGTATTGGCAGATGCAAGTAAAAGAAGAGGAAAGACCCAAAACAGCGTTCTCGACCCATCGTGGACAATTCCAGTGGAGGGTTATGCCATTTGGTCTCACGAATGGGCCAGCTAGTTTTACCAGATTGATGAATCTAGCGCTCGATGAACTGACTTGGACACACTGTCTTGTGTATTTGGATGATATTATTATCTGGGCCCCTTCATTCGAGGAACATCTGCGTCGCCTACGTTTAGTATTTGACAGGATACGAACTGCTGGTCTTAAGCTGAAGCCAACTAAGTGTCAGTTTCTAAAGAGAGAAGTTTCGTTCCTTGGGCATGTTGTCTCTTCAGAGGGGATCAAAACTGACCCTGACAAGGTTGAGACTGTCAGAACGTGGCCAACCCCAGTAGACATCAAAGAGCTCCAAGCTTCCTTGGTCTTGCAAGTTACTATAGGCGGTTTATTTTTGGATTCTCAATCATCGCAGAACCACTCTATAAATTGTCTAGGAAGGGTGTTGCTTTCCAGTGGCAGATGGAACAAGAAAGTGCCTTCAATGAATTGAAACATCGCTTGACCATTGCACCCGTCTTGGCATATCCTGATTTTAGTCCTGATGCAGGATTATTCGTACTTGATACAGGTGCCAACCAACGCCTGGGCAGTGGCGCTGTTTAATCTCTATTGCAACCCGATGGCACTGAGCGTGTGATAGCTTATGTGAGGTGTTCTTTGAATGAGCACGAAAAGAACTATCGCGCAACTCGATTAGAGATGCTAGCTCTGGTAACCTATATGGACCATTTTAGCTATTTCTTGTTGGGACGAAAATTCCGCCTGAGGACTGATCATCACTCATTAGTCTGGCTAATGTCTTTTAAAGAGCCTCAAGGGCAAGTGGCCCGTTGGCTAGAGCGCTTACAGGAGTATGATTATGAGATACAAGATCGCCCGGGGAGGTTACACGACAATGCAGACGGCTTGTCTAGAAGGCCCAGACGACAACATGGGAATTTTCCATCGTGTACTCCAACAGGACTATCTCAAGTTAGTGTTGTTACTAGAGACGTTCCGACCAGTGAAACCCCAAGTAAAGTGAGAAATTGTTGGTCCCCAAAAGTGGTTGCACAGGCCCAAAGGAATGATCCAGATATCAACGTGGTACTTAGTCATTTGTTGAAAGAGTGGAGGAAACTAGCTTTTGAGGAACTTCAGTCAATGAGCTATGTAGCCCGTGCTGTCTGAACCCAGTTTGAACTGATGTTGTTGCAACAGGGGGTTCTCTATATAAAGTCAGCTGGCCACACAACTCAAGCTAAACTGAGGATGGTTTTACCGAAACAGTTAGTGGAGAAGGCCCTTGTCGAAGGTCATGATGGCGTTGCTGGTGCCCACCTAGGACGAATGAAGACTCTAATGAAGATGAAAAACTAGATTCTTGGAGGCCTGGCATGACCAAAGAGGTGCATCGTTACTGCGATCGATGTCTGACATGTGCCAAGTGTAAGCCAAGAGCAAAATCCAGAGCACCACAGCAGTTATTTACCTCTGGCAACCCCATGCAACGCATCCATATTGACGTTGTTGGTCCCTTGCCACGGTCTCGGAGAGGAAACCGCTACATTTTAATAGTTCAGTGCAGTTTTACTTAATGGGCTGAGGTGTTTGCAATCTCCAACCAGCGTGCCACAACCTGTGCAAAGGTGCTTGTAAGGAACTGGATCTGCAGATTTGGTGTGTCTGACAGCATTCATAGCCATCAAGGCCGTAATTTCGAGTCTAAAATGTTCTCGGAAATGTGCCAGCTGCTGAGTATTAACAAAACGCGCACCAGTGCTTATCACCCCGAGGGCAACGGCCACGTAGAAAATCTGCACAAAACCTTAAGGAGCATGTTAAAAGGTAGAGTGGAAGATAATCCAGCTACATGGGATAAGCACCTTGATTTCTGCATGATGGCCTATCGCAGTAGTGTTCATTCCTCCACGGGGCACAACCCGTTCGAGCTCATGTTTGGTAGAGAGATGAGGATACCTTTGGATGTAATGGTTGGTGGTGCCGAAGACAATGAGTGTTCCTATACTGTCTTCAGACGCTTGAAGCCAAGCAGAACATGGAAAAGGAGCGGATAAGGAAACTGAAGCCAAAATTGTTAAAGAAAGCAAAGGCATTGCGGAACATTTATACAGCCTTCATTTACGACATTTTGTGTTTTCTGTTTTGTTTCGAGAACTTAGCGTTTCAAGTTTCTTCGGACAGTTTTTTCCTGTAGTTTACTCTGAATCAGGAGTTTCAAGCTTATTTGATGATGTAAGAGAGGGACTAAACGGTATCTCTTACATAAAGTATGTCATGACCACGAGGTTTATTCGGTGTGTTAATTCGTCGAATGTTAGAGCAAGTTTAGGTTAGAACAGTCAATAGTCGGCCTTGATATTCTCTTACAGAAGCTAAAGGCGTCGACAAATTTTTTTGCTAAAATCTGATTATTATTTTTGTCACGCCATCAGCTAAATTCGTGATCAAATCATTGAATTTATAGCCAGCATATATATCCAGCAAACGATAAAATTGGGCTAGAGCGAACACATCTTGTTTGCTATCAAAGGTTGTGAAATTTGTTATTCTTAATTATTTGAATAAGTTCTCCAAAATCTGCTGTGAAGCTGTGTATGTAACACAGCATGCTATGTCCATTTATAGAAACAACATTTGATGTTGTGTTTTGCTATCATTGACTGTCACGAAACATACATGTAGTGTAATATGTTAAGTCAAAGCAAATTTACCTTTAAACCCTTCTGAGTTTAGGGACTTAGAATGATCAGATGATCTTATTTTATAGAATGAAAAAGTGCAAATTGATCAGCACTGTGTGATCTTAAGATTTGAAGTTTATATAATTTTTGACAATACAGTCTTCCATCTAGAAATATGAATAGATTTATTCATAAACGTATGAAAAATAGAATTTCTGCATCCAATAGAACTAGCGGTGAATCCTTATATAAAACAATCAGAGCTATACTGTTATTACGGACTCTAAATATATATTTACTTACAACATCATGATGTTGTTGGGAAGAACGAAATTTTCACACTTGTCCATCATTTGCAAATCACATTTGGCCATGGCAGTGTAGTCTATGAAAGAACAGTTACAGTAAGCAGGGCAGGAATGCCAGAATGTTTTATTCCCAGGCCATCCTCCTGTTACCATTCTCAAGTGAAAAAGGGGCAAAATGGCAAAAATCACCCGATCAATCATTCTGTAAGAGAACATAAGATAGATATGTAGATTATGCACATACAGCGAGTTTACTGACTCGAACTTGTCTCCATGGTATCCAGAATGACAGAATGATCCTATTGCTTGGTAGTAATTATTACTTTGTTGTCCTAGATGTTCCATGGAACAGATTTTTGGAATTGAGGATATTTTTTCAATAATTTCTATTATTTTTGAATTTGTACAAATGAAAGTACAGATTGAGCGATAAGTCTGCCAAAAATGTCGGATTGCTTTTTCTGGTGGAAATTCTAATTACCCTGTCATATGCTTTACTCAATTAATGTTGTCTATTTTGCTTTGTTGCATAGCAACTTTAAAGAAATGATAAAAAAACGGATCAATAAGCCATAAACTCTAGACCTGAAGAAAGAGAATTATGTAAATTTAATTTCTCTGGTGAAAGATGCTGTTTATAAATCAAAATTGGGGTACTAAATGTCTTATAGCAGGCCACAAACTGTGTGTAAGTAAAGAGACTGACTTGATCCTTAATTTCTTGGGAATGAAATATAGCCCCTATCCCTCCTTACCTTAATTGAAAACTCAAGCATTTAGACAAGGCAGCTTTTTAGTCTGAAGGTATACTTATACAGGAACAATGCTCTTTAATATTGTAGGTTTTTCAATGGAAATAATGTATGCAATAAAGCTTCACTGGGTTTCTTATCAGTTCCCTCCACTTCTTCCCTGATAAGCCCCCTTCTCCAATAAGGCCTCTGTCTGGAAGCCTTTGAAATAATTAACCCTTCCCTAGGAAGGAAAATTAATCACATGTTAATTATGAGTAAAACCAATTCAGTTTTTCAATTTCGTGTGCCCGGATTGTTTGTACTATGACATCTGTATTTAGTAAAAGCCTTCCAAATGATTATGCTGTCATCACAAAACTTGATATTCTCACATTTATGAGTTTAGTTGGAACTTCGCAAAAGTCATGATTTTTCCCTGTTAAATAAATTATGATTTTACCAAGAAGTTCATGACCTCGTGTAGTTTTCGTTTGACTGTGATGTATTCTGTTAACATGTCTTGTGAACAAAGATAGTCCCTACAGTTACCATCTCTGTCCCAAAAATTTTACTTGCAGGGAAAAGAATTCCGTACAATGTTATAAAAGCAAATTAAAATTTTTATGTACATTCTATTTATGCATATGGCGTCGGAAGACAAGGTATATGATTACATGTTTCTCTTTCCTAAAGCTGTAATGTTCGAAGTTTTCCTAGTTCGCCTTATAGTAAATAATTATTGAACACTGTTATGCGCAACTCTAATTTTATAACGTGATAATGTTTGTATTCAAGTAAAATAATTTTCCAAGGGCTTTTGTTATTTTATCCATCTACATGCACAACCTTCAGAGGACGATGATCGACAAAGTGCATCAGAACTTATCCATTGCGCTGTACCTTTAAATTTTGTCCCACGTCGGTAAAAGTTACAGGGCACCCATAGGAGTCCCATGTGTATTTTTTAAGCCTTTGCCTTCATTGCTCCTACATGTAAATGGCCATTTTAGAGATCTTTTAGCAAGCTCTTTGTGATCGATTGCGATCCGCTTCGCGCGATATTATTTCTTTTAAAGCGATAGGTGACGCCATAAAAGTTAATGAAACCAAAGAACTATAAAGCGTTGGAAGAACTTTGAACTTATGTTTTCAATTCTTCTTTAAAAAACAAAACATGAAAATGAAGACGAGGTAGTGTTTATTTTACGTGGTGATTGAGGGCAGATCTTGCATGAATTATGGATGAGGTAGAGAGTTTTTAAAATGTTAAAATCTGGTCCTTTGCAATCCACGAGCTAAGCTATGAAACTAAGCAACGTTTATTTCTTAGTTTTACAGGCGCGTTTCTCACCTCTTGGCGCAAAACTGAATGATATAAAGATCGGAGATACATAAATTGAAAAGCAGCTGTCAACATGTAAATTCAACCCTGAAATGAGGTGGTCGAGGAAACAGTTTCTTAGATTAATTACTGTGTGTTCTTGGTCTCTTAAAGAACTAGGAATTATTTTTCTCGGTATAAAATTCGGAGATTAATGAGAGATTTTGCAAAGCTAAATGTTCGATCAGTCCACGGAAAGATTTTCCTGCAGGTTTTCCTTTGTTTATTAAATGTTTCTTATTCTGTAAATATTGTTTTATTCGTGGGTATCCTGGATTAGGAATTGTTTCCGGCAGAGAAATAATCATTTAGTAACTGCTAACTTTATGTAAAGAAGAAAAAAAGGCTTTGTTTATGGCTAGCCACAGTATGTCAAACTGAGGCATAAGTTTTGAAATATTATGAGGTGTTTTGGGACCAAAAGAAACCAAGCCAACAAAACAAACAAAAGGATTCCCTTTACTTGGAAATGTATTTCACAATCGCCCAAATATCAAAAAAGGGAAAAAGAGACTTCAATGCTTTGGAAATCCATAGATCATTTTAAGACGTCTGACTTGTTGACGAGAGAATACAGCCTATGATAAATGATCAATCGTAGTTTTTTTGAACTGGAACTGATAAATGCGCTTAGTCATCAACAAGGTATAGCAAAAATGAGAGTTATAAAAGTCATGCTTACTTTTGAATTGCCACGTACTAGTTCTGACTCCACTCCTTTATTCTCACATTCTGTAAACTGATTCTTTTCGGTTTGTTAAATTAAAAATTACCAGAGATTTTTTGTATTTGATGTAAACCTATGTCAATGTTTATCAAATTTGCATTTGTATTCCGGGTTCCAGTAGAGTATGTGGTTTTCAAATGTCAGAATTCGATTGGCTGTTGAAAGATTTAAGCAGTGCATATTTGATTAAGACTTAAATGAGAAAACGACCCAAAGAGACATTTTTTAAAACCTTCATTAGTGCGAACTAAAATCTGTTCTCACGGTTCTTGAGCTGCATTATTTTCAATTCACACATTTTCCACTTCTGCGAAAAGTTTTTAAGTCTTATTCAGTAAAGCTAAAAACGTTAAAATTTAGTGGAAGTACCGATTTATTCGATGTGCTTACGTTAGATGACTCACAATACGTAGCACACAATACGTTTGGGTTCCAACTTCACTTTTGTTGAACACTCAGATGATTATTCCTAGTTGAATAGAAAACAGTATCCCTCTAAATTTTCTCAAGATTTAAATATATCATTCTGATTTCCTTTGTAAGTGGAACAGTGGATGTTATTTATGAGCGGCAAAGGATCTTCCACATCAAATATGTCAGATCTCTTACCGCCGAGTCCGGTAGGCAATTTGTAAGCTACTTATCGTCTTTAAGCAGAGTTGCACCGCTAGGGGTTTCCATAAAATCAGAGTAACCTTACATTGGAGCAAGCTCCCGTTGCTTTACGAGGTAAAGGGAGGTTATAGGCCTTTCTGATCTATCTGGTGTCGTTTGTTCAGTTTTATGGAAAAATGTTGTTCGGATCATGAAAACAAAATGACGGCATACTGTGTACTTGTAATCTCTACTAAACATTTGTTTGAACAAGAATTTACTTGAGGTAGAATTTGAACAAAGAATAGGATGTGAGTATCAATTGACCGTAAGATATCAAATCCAAAGACGTCGGAATATTTTTAATCTGGCAAAGAAAAGTTATACATTCTTTGCGTGAAGAACGTTAATGAAATGGTAAAATATAATTTACTCAGGCTAAGGCCATTCATATCATTTTCTTTGTGACCTGCATCATGGGCATCTAGCAGTATATTGAAGGTTATTATCTAAATAAATGTGTGATGTTTTGCATGGTTATATCCGGTATGCAGATACATAGTTTAAGGAATATTTTGTTAATAACGAACGCTGATAACTAACCGAAAACTCAAACTGATCTAATTTCATAAAGGCCTTGAGAGAATAGCTGACCAAGTGGTGATCTAAATTTTAACACCAAGAAATCGAAGCGGAGGCGGGCAAACCAGCAGATTCGTTTTTTCATTTTGACATCATAATCGAAAGTAATTTTTAGCGTTCAAATTTTATCTAGTCAATTTCTCTATTCTCGAGGACTTTTAAACCGATCCACCAACCGGAATTCGGGGCGCGAGCTTCTTATTTATTGCATCTCAGTAAAAAGTAGCTGTCAGTTTGGTGTCAAACGAAGATTTCGCATTTATACGTAATAATTCACTTATTTTATTCTCAAAGCTACAGATTTGTCTTTTTGGCAAATGAAATGATTTCCGTTTGAAGCAAGCATAATTTTGAGCGCACTCTCATGGCAGCGTGTTTCCAAGTCTGATCTACGAATTGCATCGCTATTACTTTTTTTTAAAATTGGAGGCCGCTTCCACTGAGTACACCCTAAGCACTAATCGGTGATTTGCATAGCACTCATGACCACCTTTAGAAACGCTTACCTCGAAATACTAGCTATCTCACTCGTAATCATGAAAATCATTAATTTATCAAGCCCTTGAATACGCGTAAAAGCCATTTGAGACTCCTAAGTGCAAGTGGGCGGATCAGCAGACGTAATTTAAGACCTCTTACTCTTACGTGTAGGGGAGAAAATCTTAAGCCTGGTCTTAGTTTTTTCGTCCGCTTCTAGCTGTTTGTAGCCTTTGTCGGCTAGTAATTCCCTTGTTGCTTACTGTTCAACCGGATTAGTTTAAGACCAAATTCAAAGCGCCGCTAGAAACAGAGGAAACTCGTATGAAAGGCTACTGGAAGCTATTTTGTCATTGCTGTCCCTCATTGTGAACAGAAATTAGTCGATGCAAAGTAATGACCCTATTTTATCAGGTGGATGGATCTAAATGTTGTTATTATAAACGCCGAAAGTTTAATTAAAGCTGACTCTAGTATAAATTTACAGGTGGCTTTTAAACTACTTTAACAACCTTCTAGGCATAAAAGATAATACACCGTTCAGCTTTGGGACGCAATTACACTTGTTGAGCAATGTCTATCGGTCCGCTAATGACTAGGTAAGTGCCAGTAAAACAATTTCGTCCTACTTCATATGGTTAGTGATAATGACAAGTTTTAAGTTGGCCATTTTTCATCTCTAAATCTCTATTGACAGCGGCCAAGCGATTTTTTAAATACATTTAAACGGTACCGAACCTCAGTGGTTTGAAATGTCTTACCAGGAAAACTAGTAAATGTTGAGTTGTTTCTATGCGCATTTTGATCACGAAGTGTTTTGTCTTATTATAGTTTCTAAATGCGATGTATAAACAATTTTTAGAAAAAAGACTTGAGAAGGCGCAAATGAGGAAATGAAATGAAGAAACGAAAAAACGAAGGACACGATAGTTAATCAAGAACGAAGCAAGTTGAGGCATGGGAACAACAACTTTCTTACTCTAAATAAAAGAAACTCTCGGCAATAACTCTTTCAAATCTAATGAAACCGAAAAGCAATTAGAACTTGCAGCATTTTCAGCTGTCACCGGTACACCACCTATTGAATGATTTTTTAGGAAATTAACTTTGCATCATTTTTCCGGATTCAATGACCGTTCCCTTTTGAAGTGAACCTGAAATCGAAAACACTCGCTTTTTTATTACCCTTTCATGGGTTCAACTGTCTTAGAGGCCGCATTTGCCGCACTTGCCGCACATGTATAATCCGTCGTAGACCAACTGTTGCGGAGTAGTTTGTCCAGTTGAAAAGACTAGCTTTGAAACTTCCGTAAAACAGCGGCTATTGCCACCGCTGGACAGTTCTAACTATATGTTGTTCCCGATATCGCCGGGTGTTTAGACTTTTAAGGACAATCGGTATTCGCAGTATAAAACATTAGTTTAACGACGGGATTCCCAAAGGTAGGTCAAACTTCATTAAAATAATTGATCATAGTATCATGTCAATCACGCCTGAGTCATAGCACTTTTACAAGTTTTAAGTCTTGCTTTGCAAATCATCACTAAGAAACCAAAGGGAAAGCCCTTTTGTTCATCTGTGAAAATTGTTTATGCAGATGGCCACTTTTAAGAGGAATTCAAATGTCAGTGAGGTTCCATTAATTTGTTATCACAAATGCGAGAGTTGATATTTACACTGTAAAGACAAAATTACACTCAAAGAAGAACTGAACTACTCACCAATACCATTTTGATTTTTATGAGTTTAATTTTTGTTATCAGAAAGCTAAGGTTATTTACACAGATTTTAGACACATGGTTAAGGTTTCCGTGCAATATTAATTCTCCGTAGCAATTCTTTTTTGTTTCAAATTTTCCAAATAGCAAATAAATAGCTTAGAAGCTAAACCATTTTTACATTTTGGCAGACAGCTGGTCGATCTCGAAATATCTTGCAATCTTTTCGAAGCCAGATTATAACACAAACATTTTTGTTGAACCTGATCAAGCTATATTAGAATTTATTTTCAGCTAAGTCGATTTACAAAGTGTTTCTTGATGAATACAAGCCGTAACCTTTTTGGATTGTAGTCCTGGTTCTTGTTTACCAAATCATCTCAGCGAAAGTTGTACGCAAATATAATATAATAAAGAAATTTTTTCCTTCAAAATTTTGGTGCGATTATCGTGCAGTTTAGCCGTCTGAATTAGTTACTTGCTTTTTCAAATTATTCCTCTTAGGATTAAAGTATTACGTCCCAGATCGCTTATCGACAGAAATGATTTTATAGACTTAAGCATTATCATGTATTCGAAGTGATGGTCTCACAATAAAAATTTTCCATGATCGGGAGGCACCTGCCCTAACGTTTGTGCTTTAACTAACTTTCCAAAAACAAAAATGAAAACCTAAATTTATCTTTGAATACGTACCTGTAGTTAAAAATTTCCTTTCTTAAAACTGCCACCATCGAACCATTTTCACTAATTCATCTCTTTCACCAATTGGTAGAAGATTACTGAATACTGTCATGTTCTTATTTTTCAATGATGCTCAGAGTAAGCAGTTATTGAAAATTCACTTTGCAAGGTGTACCATTCGAAGCAAAGTTCTTCTAAACTGCTGATTGCGCCATACGATTACGCAAGGATTCATCGCGGAACTAGCAAATAGGAGTGTGTAAGCCCATTTCAGTCGGTTTTCTTCTCCTTTTCCCATCAAATCGAGTACCACATCGGGCAAAAAGCATACTAAGGTAGAGCCAACTAAGATAGCAGAGGTCAATGCCGTTGCATTTTCTTGTTCCATGGTGGCGACTTGTTGATGGTAATTGGCTGTTCTCGCCTGTGCCAAAATTTTTCCTCGACGTCGTTTCCAGGACACCCACAGGATTCTAATGTAAGTAAAAATCAGAAGAAGTATCATCAAACCATGGACGTAAGGACCAGCAACTTTTCCTGGTTCCGTTGCGAGGGTAACCCCAGCTATTATGGAAAAAACCCACGTCAACCCTATGTACACGAGAAGACTGTTCTGCGACACTGAAAGAAGATGATGGAAAGGCCTTGCCAAAGCCTTCATCCTGTGATAAGTTATTGTCGTAAGGTTGAGGAAAACTGCGTGGAGGCCAATGAACGCCATAATCTGAAAGGCTGTCAAGTAGCTGGTGCTGGTCTCGTTGCTAAGGTAGTATATGTACACTGGTTGTGCAATCAGGCAGTTGGCAAGATCTGCAACTGTCAGAGAGACGATGAGCAAATTCAAGCCCTTTTGAAGCTCTGGGTTTTGGTAAATCGTCACGATCAACGAAATGGTCATACAAGTGCCAAATATACTGAGAACAGCATTGATTATACTCAGGCAAACAACTTGTGCAAATCCCATGTGTTAGATTGGATTTACACTCTAAGATCAGTGCGACTTTCGACTTGAGATTGGGATTCAATCTGACGCCGACTGCTCTGTATTTTAACGTACTTAAATCTGTTTATGCCAGTTGAGGTTTTATTTAGTTTTGAGTATTTTTAATTGTCTTAAGTAATCTATGATTACACTGGTTTTGGTTTACTTAACTCCGTGATTGGTGCAGAAAATCCGCACCACCCTTTCAACCAATCGGATACCAAACGTAAGTAAACCGTGACTTTTTCACTGGTTTTTTACGCGTTTGCTTGTTTGTAGCTTAACTCCCACTCCCCACCATCCGTCTTCTTGTGATATCTTATCCTTTGTATTGATTGGTTATCGATCCTATACTAGTCTTTGTTTCACGACGCTCAATCCAAATTCTCCAATAACTTTTTGTGGAGAATTAGGAGGTGATCCTCAGTTGATATTCTAATGTCAATAGAGGCTTGTTGAGGTGAAATGTTTACTCTAAGCGATAAAGTAAAATATTCTTTATTATTTCAGGATCATCTTGTAAAGGGTAGCGCGGAGAACATAATTTCCTGTTCGCTAGGTATGATTAACGTACTGCCTTCGTAAGTTGTCTATATGTGTAAGGCTTTTGTATTTAAGTTCGCTTTTATGAGAAGGTTCCTGATTGAACATTTGATGTGAAGTGTAGAAAGCAATCGATGGCAAAAGTGATGCATCGCGCACAAATAGCAAGTAACCTACTTTCGTGCGCTTGAAATGCCTTTTTAGGTTTAAAATTTATAAGAAGGTGACCAGTTTTTTTTTGTAAAATAATCTGCAAGCCAATGTATGCGTTCAGCATTTTGTTGGAAGTACCTCGTAACTCTCTATTTAATGAAATCATAACTGTCGATCAGCGAACTGTTGTGATGATTTTCGATGTCAAACGTCGATCTATAGAGGAAGATTTTTAAGCATATCGAACCATTATACTCGACGGTTGAATTGCACCATAATTGTCGCGCAAATATTGCAGTAATGCAATCTAGGGTTTGAGGATAATCAGGCCATACAAACTCAACTTATCATCCAATTCTTTTTACTGAATTAGGAGTCCTTGCGTTCGTTTTTATTGGTGCCCACTTTTAAATACCAGTATCGCATAGATTGCCATGTTGAAGTCAGAGAGATAACATCATGCTTTAAAGAACGAAACATTTTTGCATCGACTATCTAGAAGTTGACTAGGTCGTGTTTAGTTTGGGCCTTGTCATCTTTACAAATCTTGTATGACTCGCAATTCTCGTTTTTTCCATAACTTCTTTGATTTACACCTCAGGCTTTCCTTCTTATTAATGCATAAACGAATGATTGAATCCGGACCTAAGGGAAATGAGCAATAAGGCAGCCCGACACTCAGCTTTCATATAAAAACAATGTTCAACCCTAACCCTAGGCAATGATGACAATTATAATAATTATAATGATAATAATAGTAATGATAATAATAATGATAATAATAAATGGGGTCGGTGGCTCAAAACAAGACGGTGGTTCAAACAGCAAAAGGACATCAAGAGCATGAACAAGAGCAGAAAAAGTGCATTACAACTTTAATTTTTACAGCGGGAAATAATATTTTACAATGTTTGGGTTGAGTTGCGTAGAAACGGTGGAAACGCCTTCAGCTACTTAATAAATACTAAGTACTTTATTACTTCTATTGCCGGAAACTGAAACGCTTAAAACAATCGCCTGAAGGCAAATAGTTTGTTAATCATTACTATCAGCAAATAGGATTGGTAATCATTACTATCGAGTGCAGAATATTTAACTGATAATGAAATAAGCCGTGACTGTGCTCTGTTCTGTTGGAAAGCACGCAGGAGCAGCTTGGGCACGAAAGAAGTGAATGGGGAAACACGAGACGAAGTCGTGTCTTTTTCCCGACTTTTTGAGCACGGCGTTATGCATCCTTAATTTCTAAGGAGAGAATGCATCGGATATTCCACGTTTGAAGATTAGCGCAGGGCACGAATAAGATCCATTGTGAAGAAATAAGGCGAATAGAAAAAGTCGGAATCTTAAGATGCACGACAATGTAATAAACTTAACTTGATAAATTACCGACAGATCATTTTAATGAATCAAAAAGTAAAAAAGCACTTCAGAACTTCGGAGATTTTTGTAAAATTCAGTTATTTCTTATTCAATTTCGTATTCAAGAATGAAACAGAACCCGAGCTTTCATTCCGGTATGAAAACAAACAGACTCTTTTACAAAGCCACGGGCTCGATATTAACCGTGAAATTATTGCCGGGAAGAGAGCAATAGAATGTTTTAAATCGATTACCAAAAGGGAACAAAACCTATGATGAATTTCGGAAAATAAAAGAAATGATATTGACGCTTTAAAATAATTTTTCTTTAGGCTTTTAATTTGGCGTCGATATATGCATAATACTTGATCTGTTCGCGTCGCTTCCGCTCGAAGTGATTGACGGTTTGGCAGTTTTAATAATAATAAGGCAGCTTTAACTGTGATCAACAAAACTAAAACAGTGGAACATTGCACGTTTTTCTCATAAGATGGCCAAATGCGAGCAACATTTGGAAAGGAGTCAAATATCTTTTCTCTGAAAAAGATGAAAAAAAAGCCAGCAAACAGCTTGTCTATATTGCGCTTAGAACGCCAGCTTCATTTTGTCTTCTAACAGCTGTCTAAAATACGCACGGTTTTGCTTTTTCGGAAACAACTTTTATGAAATAAGTCATCAAGCGTCTCCTGCTAACCGTAAAAGTTTGCTCATGCTCTCTGCAAGATTAAGCTGGTAACGACTAGATAAGTATTCATTTAACGCCTATCGAAAAAAAAACTTTCAATCTTTATATGTGTACCCTTTATTTTCATGATACACACTCCTCCTCCGAATCAGGGAATTAGAAATCTAATTTGTTAACCTCACGAAATTGCACTTCCTATATCTACTTTACCCGTTCAGTCCCTAAGGCGAAGTGTTTGAAGCAGCGCTCTTCTAAACAGTTGATTACGCCATATTACTATACAGGGATTCAGTGCCGAACTAGAAAACAACAGGGTGTAAGTTCCCATCAACCTGGTTTCTTCCCCTTTCCCCATAAAGTCCAGAAGGACATCAGGCAGGTAGCATAGCAATGTGGTGCCTACCAAAATAGCTGACGTTATCGCAGCGGCGTTTTCATGCTCCATGGTGGCCGCTTGTTGGTGGTAATTGGCTGTCCCCGCTTCCTGAGCGATTTTTGCGCGTTTGCGTCTCGAGACCCACAGCATTCTCAAGTAAGTTAAAATCAGAAGAAGTATCATAACTCCATGAACATAGGCACCAGCCTCTTCTCCTGGTTCCGTTGCGAAAACAATACCAACTATAATAGAAACGATCCATGTTATTGTTATGAATACGAGAAGATCTCTTTGCGACACCAGCAAAAGGTGAGATAAAGGTCGCGACAGGGCTTTCATTCTGTGATACGTGATCGTTATGAGGTTGGAGAAAACCGCATGGAGACCGATGAAAGCGACAATACGAAGTGCTGCTAGGTAGCTTGTGTCGCCCTTGTTGCTAAGATAGTAGACATACATAGGTTGTGCAATCAAACAGTTTACAAGATCGGCAACTGTTAAGGACACGATCAACAAATTTAAACCTTTTTGTAGCTCTGGGTTCAGTTGAATGGCCAGTACCACCAAAATGTTCATTACACATCCAAAAACGCTGAGAAATACATTGATAATGCTCAGGGAAATAACTTCAGCAGATGCCATTCGGAAAGCCAAGCTTGATTCGGCAGCACTGTCAATTGAGCTGAGTTCAGAGATCTTTAAACTGAATATGACTTTCGGCAAACCATTGTTTGTTCTTCTTGGTATAAACACGCATGTCATTAAATTACAAATTTTGCATTTGTTTGATTTCCATGGGGGTGACTGACATATATAGATTTATTGCTAGTCATCATTTTTTCCCTTCAGAGATTTTTTTTCGAATTTTTGACTCTAAAGTACACCTCTTCGCCTTTTAGGATGCAATTTCCGCAGTTAACTTATCGAGTTGTTTCACACATCTCTTCGCGCTAAGCTGCGATGAGACTGCGTTTTGCCTAGTCCTAGCAGTGTATGTCCAGGTGTTGTCATCTTTGACAGGAATGAGTAATGACACCTGCTCCATTGACCAATAGATTTGACAAATTTGCGCTAGTCTTGATGATTGAAAATCGAAGTGACTATCGACAAAAGCAAACCGTTTAAAGGGTAGCTGACGCCAAAGTTTTCCCCTTTTTTGTCCCAATGCATTCCTCTTAGGTTAATGAATCCTAAATGAGCAAATAAACGATATATTGTGCAAAATCAAATTTTCTACAATTTTTTTTGACACTCAATCGACGGCCATTTTGAAAACATTCCAATTCAGGTCACGTGACGTGACGATAAGCGTCATGTCAAGACCTGAAAGTAACAACGTCATTCTCGCTGTCCAGCTGCTTCCGAAATTTACCAGCGGAAAAAAATAAGATTTGTTCCATTCTGTTATAGGCCACCATTTAGAGACTATGTTGCCTGTGACAACCTTTGAATAAAGGTTGTCACAGGTAATTTGCACGCCATTCCAAACAGCTGTAAAAAATATATATATTCCCATAATTTTTTCCTCTTAACCATTATCGAGCTCTATACTTAAAGAAATATTTTTTAAGTCCAAGCCGAAAAGTATTTGACTTTAGACTTTGTCCGGCGTATATCACTGTGACCTTAGGCCCATCGGTTCTGGAGTGAGCGTGACAAAGCGCAAAGTGTTGTCGCGTATTATGGGAGTCGTCATTTGGTTTCGTGAACGAAACTCTTCTTCCATGTTTCGGAAATGTACAAAATTTATCCTTTTTTTATTTTTATTTGTTTATTTTTTGGGGGTGGGCATAATCAGTCATCAAATATTGCTCTAGCAGCAAAATATTGGTAACCCTCATCTTTCACGATCATTTGCACTATTGTGAAATATCCCTTTCCCGTTTCTTGATATCTTTTGTTTTTGCGGCCACAATCGGTCTTAATAGAATTTCAAGCCTTTGTATAGTCTGATTATATGCTTATTATATTTATAGATACACTCTTACATACATACGGCGTCATACCGAGAGAATTCGAAAATTAAATGACAATTGGCTGTCCATCGACCGTAGATGGCTATACTGGTAGTTTGATTAACGATTCTCTGTCTCTTCAACAACTCTTGGAATCTCTAAATAGAAAGGATGCTGATTTAAGATGGAATGATTAAAGCATCCTCATTAATTATAATCACACTGGTGGCCACGAATATTATAACTATTATACCAAAAATTATTGCGACGTCATTAAGGATGAGGAATACCCGGTTGAAAAACTAAAAGCGAAATTAAAGGAATTGACTTCTCTATTCATGTTTTAGTTGGTCTCAATTTATGCTCCGCAAATCGTGCAAAATCCGTTGAATTTTTTAGTTGAATTGCCATGTACAACAGTCGTCTGTAATGTAGCTCATCCAAATGATTGATCGAGCAAAGCTGCGTAGGTGGAAAATCAACGTTCGGTACAAGCTTGTAAAGTAGTTTATCATTTCAAGTGCGCGGTAATGTAATTTTTCATCAAGTTGTGAACCTGTAATTGAACCTGACATTGCCAGATATGAATGTTGGAGAGATCGTTATAAAATGTCGTACCTGAATATGACAGGCAATTCTGGACGCGTCACAGGCGTCAACAAGCAAACGATAAAATCGATGGAAACAATTCTTTTACATTGTCTTAGCAGCCTGATTATAAAGTCGTAAATGTTTTTGTAATGCTCACGAGAGATGACGCGGCGGTATAGAATGAAAATTACCCTACCTATTTAACAAATAGAGAAGCCTTGACTGTGCTCTGTTCTGTTGTAAAGCACGCAGGAAGCGGCTGGAGCACGAAAGAAGTGTAGGGGGAAACACGAGACGTAGTCGAGTGTTTCTCCCTACTTCTTGAGTGCTCTAGCCGCTTCCTAAGTGCTTTACAACAGAACAGAGCACAGTCAAGGCTTCTCTATTTGTTTTATAATAAAGAATCCGTTAAATTCCCCAAGAATTACTTTCAATTTTCAAAACAAATCTTATTTCCAAAGCGAATAACAGTGTCGTCAGCATGCTCTATACTCTCATAAAGCACGCTACAATAAGCCAATCAGAATTCCTGTTAGAATGGTTCAAATAATCTGATTGGCTGTACAAGACTAAAGCTGTCAAAAATGTCAAACCATCAAAGTTAAAAAACCATCATAGTTCATATTCTGCAATAGTTTACAAACTAAAATAGCTCGGCATGTCGAATTTAACACTTTTGCCTGAAGTTTTTTAGTTTCTAATACAGGATCTGAAAGTGAAATGTTCAGTGAAATTCGGCCCAATCGTAGCTCACAAAAATATGCAAGTTATTTCACATGACAAGTAGAAAACAAACTGTTCAAGGCGAGTGTATTATGAATGAACAACAGCCGAATTCACTAAGACAAAAAGATCGCTCGGAATGACAGCGCCGTAAAACTCGGTTGCAGTGACTGATCTGGCCTTCCACTCAACGCATCGGAAAGGTAATCAGGGCAAGCTCTTATTTTTTCACTCGAAGGGTAGTCGATTTAGTTCCTGAGGCTTGCTCCACTGCGATGACCGAAGATCGCCATGATTAGCTAGCCGCGATAGACCTTAAGTCGCTCTGACACCATCATGATTAGTATGAATTTTAACAGTTATGCCAGGTTATATTTTTCATAATTCCTGTTTTTTTCTATTTGAAATCGAAACTTTATATACTATACAAGTGTTAGCTGTGTTTGATTTTTATTACCGTACGTAAACTCGCAATCTAACTGAGCGTAAAAACCGTTAAAAAAACTCGGACTGTCTATCTTGTTTTATCTTTGAGGATTTTTGTCTCTACTCACGTTACAATAACGTAAATTACTGCGCCTGGCATTTTTGCAAACCTTTGCTCGCTTGTTCCGAAATTTCACTTTTATTAACGAAAGAAAAGCTAGAAAGAAGTCCCGGAAAAGGTCGGACATAGTACGATTTGACAGATGGCGTGACAGCTTTAGCTCAGTTCTATGCTCTATACTCTCATAGAGCACGCTCTTTCAACCAATGACAGTACGTGTTATATCCGAGCTTTATTATAAATAAAAAATAGCAAAACCGCTCTTAACCGACTGTTTCCTTAGATCATCATTTAATCCATCATTTATTTTGAAAGATGACAGAATTGGGAATGAATGAATGAATGAATAGATGTAAGAACACAGCTGTGATACTACACCATGGATCTCGATGCAAAGAGGCAAAATTACTCTTTTCATGTAAAACTAGTGAGGGTACTCTCAAATACCCCTGTCAGTAAAGATCAAGTATAAAAATGTTAAAAATGATAATTTGATTTGAGTAGAGTCCGTGGATAAAAGGTAATCTATATTTCTCGAGAAGTGTTAGTCACTAACTATTACTCTCGAAGGCGAAACTCGATGTAGCTGCGTGATTGAAGCCCCCTGACGGACAATATTGTACATTAGGTATTCTGAAGGGTAAAACACTCTCCAGCCTTTAAGAACGAGGGGGGAGGGGGAAAATGAATTAGAACGCGAAATGTGATATTTGATTCGGGTGAAAGAACGGCTGTGAGGGTGGCTATTGTTTTGGAATTTAGCCAATCATTTCTTAATTATCTGGCCGTCACCATTAGTGATTCGGCATTCCAACCTTCTTGCAAAGGGAACGTTTGCTCGGAAAACAACTCAAACTAGAAGACTGAAATTGTAGTGGCTTAAAGGCGAAGTATGTTACAGATATTACAACAGATACCGTAATTATTTTATCACCGCCGTGAAAAAGTATTTAAAGAAATCTATTGCATGCTTACTGTGGTTTGAAATTTTAAGAAATAGCTTAGCACTTCGAAAATTACCTTCAACGGCCTTAAAATTCGCCATTGAACGCGCTATTTTGAAAGAAATTCGGCAACCTGGGTTCAGTTGTTCGAACGCCGATTAGCGCTAAGCCAGGGTTAAATTTTTATCCGGATTTCTCTACTTCTTCGTTCAAAAACCCTTTGCAGATAAGTTTATTATCGAGTTTTATTATCAGAGATTCCAATTATCAAATTGTAGACGAAAAGAATTGTGCTAAATTTCCTTTTTTCGGCCCTTGCTGAGAACTCAATCGCGCTTAGCACAAACAGCTTCTGCTCTTCCCAATTATCTAGCATTTATGTTTAAACAGATCTCCAGGAGGTGGAAAGGGGAGGAGTAAGACTTTTCTACGGCACAGAAAGTCGGCCAGGTTGCTGAGCAAGGTTTAAAATGACCGCTTTTGTTGTAAAATTTTCAGTGCATTTCGAGACAATTTTGTTAGAGTAGGTTACTCAGTAGGAACTCAAATGGTAGTCATTGTCATAATTTCATTTATATATCTCTTAGCGGCGAAGAACGAAATTATGTGTTCTTGCTTGAGCATCCTTCTCCTACCCAAAAACAGCTCAGAAACAGACTGTGGACGACGAATAACTTTTGGTAATAAATGAATTATAAAACCCAGCAACTCTGAATACTCAAGTAAACGTTCACAAGACTTATACGCCTAGGGTCAGCCCAACGTAAGGTTCTGAAAATAGGCAACTACACTCTTCTAGTAAATTACAGATGTTCAATTTAAAACAAGCGTATTGAAATAATACAGAAATAATTTATTTCGTCCATTTACAAAAATTGTTCAGATCAGGTTAGCTTAGGCTGAGACAGCACAAGAACATTGTCTTTTCAGACATTAATACGTTGCCAATGTTACAAATGTGATCAATTTTGTAGCTCTGTAAAAAAATATTTATAATGCAGTAAAAATTCGATCCAGCCGTTGAATATTAGACGCATTTTCTCTCTTTTTCATTCCATTTGAAGTCTTAATAAATATGATATAAATTACGTCTCCATTCATTTATTCCGAACACAATCCGTATGAATTACCTTTGTCTTTATCTTACAATTCGAAAAAGTAAACAATTTATATACCTTTTGGCATCCCTGCTTACAGACTGGAATTTTGAAAAACTTGTTACAAATGACAATTGCTTTGTCTCGGTTTTTAATACAATTATTTCCTGGATTTCGAGCATGTCTGGAATGTCCAAACGAATTTTCTTTAATTTCAACCTTTCCGACTGAGTTTTTACCTCGAGTTGAAAGTTCTTCTAAGTCAGGCTTGTGAGTTTCATTTTGTTCCAACCAATTTACGTCTTTGAGGGTGTCTAGGCCATCAGATTGAGAGCTTTCTTGTTCTATCAGAAGCCAGTCAATATCGACTGTATCATTTTTTTGAAGGATGGAAGGTTGCGAAGGGTTTGTAGGTCGTGCCTCTGTTTCCCCGCCAGATTGTAGCATTATGAACATGGCAAAGTGCATAAAAATGATGGAAACGATACGTTCACGGCCCTGCGAAGAGATACGAGTGCGTCATTATAAATTTTTGTCCTACTATTACGGAGCTTTTCTTTGAAAAAGTGTCAATGAAATATGTATATGCATGAGAAGAACTCGCTAATTTACCAAAGCATACAATAAAAATGTAGCTTAAAGATTCTTAAAAAGAGGAAATTTTTTCACTTTTTTATTTTTTAACGAAACGATGTTAAAACCATTATAAGGCAAAGAGAATCTATAAATAAGTTCAGTGAAATTACCTGTGAAATTCCAAAATTCATTCTGATTTTTATCGTCGTCCTTTAGTTAGTACTTGATGCTCTTCTTGTTGGTTGCTAGTGAGGAGGTGAATATTGACTGAAGACGATTGCTCATCGTCTTCTTATATACTTGATGAACGTGAGTCTAACTTAGTATTATTAAGATAAATTTAGAAAAGAAAAACGTTTCATCAATTTTCCGGGTATGTTTCCATCCGATTCTAACTCGAATGTAAGCCGGTTTGAATAGGAAAAGTAAAAATACCCCCATTACTCCCTTAGTTGTTTTAAGGGTGAAATAAGGAAATAAAGGTGGGTAATAGTTTCACAAGTAGAAGATTTTCCCTTTTAGCTTACACATTTCTTTACACTAAAAAGAATAAGCGCAAATATTTGTTTCATAGCGTGCTCTGCGCGTCAACTTGCTTTGTGTAAAACGTCAATTTGCATTGTTGTGCAAAATTAATCTTTTTATTGTACATAGCTTAAACGAAAGGAAATTGAAGTCTTAGGCTTAATTCGCATCTAGCAGCTACTTCGGTTTATTCTGTTTCAGATAAACAGCATTCACTGCATTTCTTTCTTCTTATGTCGAAGAGAGATGTTTCTGTTGGGTTCGTCTCTTACGTTGTGCCTAATAAGTGTTACTGACATTTATTGCCAGCTAAGCTGTTAAAAGCTTGGTAACATTATGTTCTTACAGATTGATATTAAAGTAGTGTTAAGTGAATTTGTGGAATGCTTAACATAGCTGTCGTTTGTTTTATATAATTAACTTTTCAATTTAATTTAAAGGCTTTTATTTTTAGCTCTTGGAGAGAAAAAGGAAACCTCCATCATCGTTTCAATCCTTTCGAGTATGTGCCCAAAATTGTAATTAACCCCACAAAATACTCAAATTACATCATCGATAGTCACGATTATTTTGAAATCACACACGGACTAATAGTACTGCAACCGGATGTTTGAAGCAGACACGCTTTACTGGCATTTATTGTCTCGAATTGTGAACTTGTATAGCTTGTTACATAGAAAACATAATGTTTAAAATACGATTTACTACTAATAATTCATTTATCACGAAAATAGCCCAATGCAATCAGTGTTCCTGTTTACACATGTACACAAAAACCGCAGCTCTTCCGGTCCGATGCTAGACCATATATTAATTACTACAACGTGATCAGGATGGCGGACGTGAGTACTCGTAGTGAGATCTACTGTAGAAATAACTAGAAATACTCTCGAATAAGATAAAAAATTTTGGTGAATTTTGAGCTTGATCGTCGACTGAGGAAGATGTTGATGAAAAAGACGTAGGGAATATTAATTATATGAAATATAAATTGTATGAGCACACCGAGACCCACCGCCACAGCTTTTTATATCATTGACACTCATTGAATTAGTCGGCGAGCTGGGGCTACGCGAAAGGTTCATATGTGTAAAATATGCAGTGTGCTGCCAGAATCAGCAATGAAGAAAGCTCCACGTGTGTAAACATTCACTCTGGATTTACACACACCAAGCAGTGCCTTTTGATTCAGATGTACAATATTTTTTCCTAATGCGATGCATACTTTAATTTGTTACATGATTTTGCTGCCAAGTGCACAGTTGGCTTCAGTATATGGCGTGAATGACTGCAAAACGATACAGTGAGCGAAATGAGCAACACAACCAGCGAAAATTTTAGTAACTTGGAGCCGTGACGTCACGGCCTCCATTGTCTGTTTGTGTGTTTGCTTTGCTCTTTTTTGTTTTAGTTATTTTTGGTTTGCCATTTTACTCGAAACGCCAGCCGTAACGTGACGGGCTTATCATAATTGACCTTTTAATATTTTTACGTCAGCGGGTTACTCGAGAGTCTCTTTCCTCTCTTCTTTTGTTTGATCGTTTGTCAGTAATCCTGCGGGAGAGCAGTTAAGGCTTTCATTTCACTTGTTTTGCGCTCGATTGTGTATCTTTCTGCACGATTTTAGGCCACATTCATGACTGACAGATAAGAAAAGCTGATGTAATTAATGAGACTAAGAGACCATTACCATACTTTATTAGATGATATCAATTTCCTTTGTTGACATAAGTTGAGGTCACTTTCTCAATGATTTCACTACGTGTTGTCCTCTTTCGCTGGTTTTAAACGTCACGACGATGCAAATCGCGTGATGAACGTCACGCTTATGATCTCAACGCTTTACATTTATGAGGTTTTATTTTAACGCAGTTGTTTAAGTTAGTCGGTGAAGTCAGTTATCGTTTCCAATGCCGATACCAAAGATCATTTTTCCCCTTGTCGAAGTGTAGTTATTTTCATCGCTTAGATATGTTTTTAATAATGATAATTATATATGACAATCGTTATTATGATCATGAGGATAATAACAATAACGACCAAATATAATCCAACCTATGCGAGAAAATTGTACTGAGATGTAAAAATTAATGACTTAGAATTGTTATTTTGATGATTAAAAATAAATTTGTTATCGCATATTTACTGACAGGAACATTATTTAAGGTTAAGCAGATGAAGGAAAAGTAACCCAGTAAGAGAAAACCTAGGAATTCCGGAGAAGAGTACATAGAAATACTTAAAATAAAGCAGTGTTTACTGGCATATGAAGTGGAGTTAACGAGAACATGAACTTTCAAAACGATCGTTATCCTATGTTGAGTAATAATCGCTGTTTTTTTACCCACTTGTCTCCAGTCGCTAAAACCATCCACTGTTTTTGTTACTACAATCTTATGCAAACAGACACATGCATGGAGCTACAAAGATTCCTGAAAACTCTTAGCTAGGAATTACGATGTGTTGATTTGATCTAATTATAACTTTTCTTTTATTTTCCTATTGAAACTATCTCTCTTATTCAGATAACCATATATGAGGGTCTTTGATGAGAAAGAAATTTGCCGTAATATTTTATCAATGGCCGGAATGTTTTGCAAATCAGTCTTCTCAGTCTACGTTTTTGACGACTTCCCGTGTGCCGTTTGCAGTATTAGGTATACCTTATCTTACGTCTGAATGCACACTGTATTAGAAAAGCCACCTACAGGGTCGTCAATAAGCTGTGTGACAACTATTTTAAAGTTAATTCATTCAGTTCATTCCAAGCGACAAACTTGAATAGGTTTGCGTAATCATCTGCGTTATGACGTCTTGCGGTGTGCCGCAGGAAATACCATCTCTATATTCTTTTACGTCTGAATGCCTATTGTATTACAGACGCCACTTACAGGGTCGTCAGTAAGTTGTGTCACAGTTGTTATGAAGTTAATTTATTCAGTTCATTCCAAGCGACACACTTGAATAGGTCTGTCGCAATTAATCTCTATTCTTATACAATAGTTCCTCCAAGTCAATGTCTCCATCTTAATTGTTTTGATATTTTGATAAAAGTATCCTGAAATTTTCTTTATTCAAAAAGTGCTGTCGAAAAACGTGATTTACGTTGGTCCGATAAATGCACCGCTGCAATGCGTAACATATGTGAAACAAAACATCACGTGCCCGGAATGACTGACAGGATCATTACTGGGAGCCGCGCCGCGATTGTGAACTTCATTCAAGCACGAGTTGCACTTTTATATCACTTGAGTACGGAGGAAGCTCGGCGGAAATAATAATGTGTGAATCTTTCTTCAACAGTGTTGTCATTCTGTTCATTTGGGGCAATGTTACACTCGTGTGTGTGCAATGTCGAAGCGTCCCCGGAACTCACTTTCCTGACGAAACGAAGTTAACTGAGCAGACAGAGCTCTGTTTGAAGAGATGTGGCACCAGCTTTCATACGGATGACACGGGAACATCAAGTGGAGAGGTGACTAGGCATTTCTTGCATTCGCAGTGATGATTAGTTTAGTTCTAAGACAAATTGATCGTTAGAAAGGTAGACGATATGCATGGGAGAACTTTAGCTAGTCAATAATTAAGTCCGACAACGTGTGATGTTTATTCAATTTCAATTCTGCAACCATCTTCTTCTTGGGAGATCTTTTCGGTCTAATTCTGTTCAGGGTTTCTTCGGATTTGAGCGGTAATTTAGCTCTTCCAGTGATGGGAAAATTTTAGCCTGTTCATAGCAGAAATCGTAGCTTACCAAGGGAAATGAATAAGTTGCATTTTTAGAATTTTTATCGTGGTAACGCGGTTTTAGGGTTCTTATGAGAAAAATCCGAAACCCGCACCTGAGCTTTCCTATCCCTCCTTCTCGTATGAGCACATCAGAATTTTTGAGGAGACACTGTTTAGGCAAGATCCTTGAAATAGAGTCAGCGTGATAAACAGGGCCCAGTATTGAGAGGCACTAAAGTCTTAAAACTGAAAATCTTAACCCTTTTCCTGTACAGTGTTCGCTAGCCATTTGTTCAAAAGGATAACCTCCACGCAGATGTTCATGTGTAAACAATCGAGTCTACGGTAATCATGATTGCAAATTACTTGTTGTCTCATCTTAATCTTTGACACCAAGAATGCTTTTACTGACTTCGACCCAATGGAAAGGTGGATTTAATATCTCCTGAGTGATCTCCCTCATTCATGAGGCCACCGTACTATAAAGCTGTCGCCCTTTCCCTTACTATTGGGGTTTCATGTTGAAACGCGATAATGTAGAAAAAAAATTTGTCCTTTATTTCTATTATTGTCACGCTATTCCTATTGCAGTGCCGGTCCGATTTCTTGTAAACATGTACTAGCTCGATCTAGCGCTGTCACCCGAGGACATTTCAAAAGATCTATGGACAGAGAGCGAGAGTATGCATGAAATTAGGGTTGATGGTTTGGCAACGCCGTCAATATTTACTTTTGTAATTATCACAGATGTCTTGATTTGAAGTTTTGCGGTTGCGATAGAATTACGTTTCCTGCTTTCTGAAAGTGGATTTTCCCCTACGTATGAGTTGTAACAGAACATTGCTCATCAATAATAAATTGTTGTTCATAGAAAGAAGTATCCCAATGATAAAAAATGTAACTTTAAAATTTCCAGGTATCGCGCTATGATTTTCGTATTTGGTACAAAGATGACACAGAAAACGGGAAAAAAGTTAAACCGTAATCGCTAGGAAATGTATCGAGACCAAAAGAGCCGTCTCAAGACGTGACGTGTTTGTACTGATTTACTGTTGAGCTTAAGTTACATCTGATAAAGATGAGATGTCTTCCGATTTCCTAGCGGATTTGGACCCCCCGGTCCGCTGTGACACCGGGATAGGAGTGGTTGCGCAAAAATCTTGACTTAAATGTAGCTGTTTCCTTATGGAGCACTGATATATTGCATTGAGTGGCGTAACATCATCACTGTAAAATTGCTGTCTTGTGCCACATTGCAAGTGAGATCAGTTGCGAGACAAGCAAACGTAACGATGGCAGACATACTTTGTTAAAGTAATGTGATTTAAAACCAATCAAGGCTTGTTCACTCAAGTACCTAGAGGCCAAAGTGAAGCACCGCCGTGACTTTAGTCAGCTTTTAAGGTTACTTCCCACGTTCAGAGGCCGAAAAAATAGATTTTTCTTTTATTTGACTGAACTGAATTCAAACATTTAACCTAACGTTTCCATGGTAAAAATTTCTGAAATCTTTCAAAGCACCCTAGTTATTTAGAAAATGAATTTTCAAATAAAAGTTAATAAATCAGGAAGGTGTCATAATCAGACATGGTTTGATGCTACTCTGGTTTAAAGATTTAATGAATATGACTGAGAAGTTACAATTCATAGACCCAACGTTTCGACATTCCTGTCTAATGCCTTCATCAGGGGTGATCTAAATGCTGCGGAGGGAGGTCCGTTTATTGTATGGTTGGATAGGCATGTGTGCTCCGCCAAGGCTTACTTTTCTTGTTTTTGATAAAAAAAGACCGCCTTTTGATGCTCTTTCAAACTTGTACCAAACTGACGCTTGGTCTGTCCGATATGCTCGTGATCACAGTCATTGCACTGACAGGACCGTTAGGTTTGGCAAAGTCCCAAATGCCCCCTAGTCAAACCTAAGGATCCATATAATCGTGCGTTGCCAGTGTTTTGCATTGCGAAAGAGAGTCATAAAGTCTTTGCGGAGTTGCAATACGTTTCAATTTTCCAGTGCGTTTATTTCATTCAGGCGTGTAAAAAGGACAATCAGTAAGATTGTTTTTTCTCCTTTGTAGTTATATTTAGTCTCCATTTCAATTTTCGTCAGTTTTACTTGTTCTCAGTCGTGCATTTATGTGATTGTAATCGTTCAGTTATTTCATTCTTGTCGCTTAGATTATCATTTAAGTTCGTAATTTAGTTAGACGGCATCGAGCATTTGTATGATTATAAATCGTGTTAATTATGCCAGAATTGAGCTTTAGTCCAGTGATGTCCTAATAGACAGAACTTTCAATTTGTGATGGGGAAGTTTGAGTATGAATCACATTTAATTCTTTTAAGAAGAAAAATTCATCTAGCTGTCTTGCGTCGCGTCCGTTGTAAACTTCTTTTTACTGACTGTCTTCAAGGAGCTCAGCTACCATCTATTGAGTAGATTTCTGGTTTGGGTAAATTTCTCATATGTTAGATTGTTTTGGTGGAGAAATACAAAGATCTAAAGGACAGAAAAATTGAATTTATGATATTTGAAAAAGCCTTTTATTGTTTATCAATGTTTTTCAGTATGGGAAATTTCCGCAGTTTGAATGCAATAAGCTCTACGCGAAAAAGCTTATCGGCCGAGGAAGCTTTGAAGAGATTTTCGTCTCACGGAATTCCGAATTCCGACAGGCACTTAGTTCGCGGGAGAGGGGGAGCAATTGACAAATCCGTTTGATGGCATCTTTTATATATATCAGTAAAGAAAATAAGGGGGTCTTCATCTTCAGGTCTTAGTTTTCGGGGACTTCGTTTTGGGGTCTTTGTTTTAGGGGTCTATTCATTTTTAAAACTGAAATTAACTTACTTGGTGATTACGCCGTTGATATGTCAATCACGCCGTTAATCATAAAATCAAATTTAACCAATAAATTAAATTTCAAAACATGGTCATATGTGTGCTGTTGTTACCTACACATTGTTCTGCATCAATTACCGTAATTTCCGGCTGTTTACCCGCGGGTAATCTGTTGATTTTGCATTAAACGCGCGACACTGCGGGTAATAGGGAGGTGCGGGTTATGTGACAATATATTTAAATCTACTGGTAGTTGAATTGAAAAAAGTCTCACCTACATGCGTTTCCACCTCTCAAATGAATTTTATTGTATTAAGAGTGCCACAAAGCGGCACGAAAACATGATGCCGACTCGAGTCTATCACACGCACAATTAGTTGCGTGACGAACAAATTGTTATCGGCACGCGTGAAAACAAGACCTTGATGGTGACAAATATAATCCAAAGATATCCGGCGCATCAGTAAAAAATTTCCATTAAACACTAACTTGAGCAAAAGATAATTTTCCCGTTTTAAGGGACTTGTTAGGCCCAATAGAACCGGAGATATCGATTTTTTTCAGAAATCGCCGACAGTACTTTACAATTCAAGTTTTAACACTCACCCAGAATATTACATTAGGGTTCGATGGCTAGCTCCACAGGACTTTTCTTTTTAAGTTACGATGTGTTTATTGAGGTTAGTTTTCGGCCTTTGGGCTATGAGGCTGCTTTATGTAATGATGAGATGACTGATGAATATAACACAGTCGATAAATCAATCTTTCCTACGAACACCTTGGCTATGCCGATGACCTCTGTGACAGCTTTATGCCTTTTGCACTTAAACTATAGAGTTTCTACAACATCTTTTTAAAACTTCCTGTCCACTGGACCTCAAAGAATTTTGATATAGGACGGCTTCGTTTCTTCGTTTGAGAATAATGCAACCTTCATCTTGGAGGAGACTTATTAGAATTAGTACATAGATCACTAAGTGGCAAATTTTAATTCGACAGAAGTGCAAGAGGAATTCACGTCGAGAGGTTTGAGGCGAATCGGTAGTACTAAAGCATAGTAGTTATTAAAAAGATTAATGATCAGTTCCGTTATTCCTTACAGTTGTCCAGTGTTCAGATATGTTATGACAAGTGCCTTCAGGAAAGAGGTAATTTTTTGATATTTTAATCGACACAGAAACTTGTGGCACCTTTTTTACGTCTAGACTGAGTGTAGAAAGAGAAGAGTATCGCCGGTTTTCACGGCATAATTATTGGATTATTGGTGGATTATAACCCATTTTATTACATAAACTACGGTGTTATACAAGGATTTCCAGCCCAGAGAAAAGCCGTAACAACACACGAGAAAGGATATCGTATTTTTTCTCGTGTGTTTGATATCACGAATCAGCTGCTGACACGTCACTCGCCTTGCGCGCCACTCGGTCAGATTGATGAATGAACGGCAAAGCCTTTATCATTCTCAATCCAAGGTTGTTTGTGGAAACTTTTGGATTATGGCTGCTAAAACACTGAAAAATACATATCGCTTACAGACAGTGGCGTTCAAACTTTCCTAGAAGGGGGAAAATACGGAAATGTTCCGATCCTTGATCTTGATTAACGGAAAGATAAACCGAAAGTTATGTATTCAGTGGCTTTGGTAATGGCATTTCTCGCGACTGAGAACGAAAATCGACAACTGGAAAATTTGCCACTGTGTAACTGAAAGAGTTCTCCTGTCGATAAGGACCAAGTCAATGACTGAGAATTTTGTGTATTGAAAATTACGCCCATTTTTTTGTTTTTGTAGTGTTTCGACGCATTTTTTCATCTTGAGCCAAAGCGCCAACGCACTTCATGATGTTTATTCTGGACTGTCAATCCTCTCATTTTAATCCATTAATAAAGTTGACTTTGCTTGTCAGTAAAGGGCTATTGTGTCTATATGGTAAACAAAATAATACATGGTTGCTCGTTGATATGAAATTTCTCTTCTCGTGTTGAACTCGTCATCCCATTCGTTCGCTGCGCTCACTCGCAAGCTATCGAGTAAAACACTCGGAAAAAAATTCCATTTTTTGGTGCGCTCATGTATTATTCTCTATTTATCTTTACCCGAAGTTACAATATCAACAGCTTTACATTGAAATCAGTATAGGCCATCCCATTCCCTCAAAGTCAACTCCATTCTCAAGCTTATCTCTCTTCTAACATCTCTTGTATTCATCCGCGTTTCATTAATTCGTTTTATGCTCAAGGCTGTCACTCGCCTATTTTAAGAGCACCAGAGTGAGGTGACATGTGGATAAGCGTATGGATTATTTAATATATTAGCGAAATGTCTAACAAAGTACTCGTGTTTTTTACACGGTAAGTTCGCATAGTTTTGATAGAGTATGCTGCTATTGATATGTCTTAAATTTTCTCCAATGGTGATAGGGAAACTGATTTCTGTCGTAGATGATAAGAATGTTTCAATCAGTGAGGAATTGACGTCATCTTTCAAGAGAATCAAACGCGGTAAGCTTTTCAACCAACAAACAAGACAACCCAAGTATCATGAATTGGCCAAAGATGGCTTCTTATTTATTTCTCTCTATATTCAAGTCGGTTCGGAAAACAATAGTTCGACAGAAGGTAGAGCACCACTCTTAAAATCTTCAGTTTTCTGATATCTTAAGATTTTATGGATGGAACATTTCGAATATAAGACATAGTTTGATGCTACTCTGGTTTGCAGATTTAATGAATGTAACCGAAGAAGTTACAATTCATAGGCCCAACGTTTCGACACTCCTGTCTAGTGCCTTCATCAGGGGTGATCTAAACGCTGCAACAAGAGGTCGTTTTATATGATCACTAATTAACGGCCTTTTTTCTGACGAGGTGTAAGGAAGCGTCAGGAAGCAAACCGCCATCGTCACGATTTAAAGGAGCGTGGGCGGAGTTAATATGCCAAGCCTCCAAACAAAGGCGCTGGTGGTAACGCCGATTAGTGGTGATAATTTTAGAATTATCCCACCCAATTGTATGGTTGGTTCGGCATGTATGCTCCGATAAAGCTGAATTTTCCTTTTTGCGAAGAAAAACCGCTTTTTGGTGCTCTTTTAACCGTGTATCAAACTGACGTTTGGTCTGTCCGATGTATTCGTTGTCACAGTCATTGCAAGGAATAGAATAAATGGCGTCGGTTCGTTGTCCTTTCTTCGTTCAGGATCCTTAGGTTTGGCGAAAATATGCCCCAAAGTCTGAAAAGGTTTTTAAGCAACTTTAACGTTGTGGCTATTCAAAATTCTCTTAATGGGTTCAGTAACACCCTGTATGTAAGGAGTAACAGCAAAACCAGTCGCTGGTTCCCTTTCAACAAGAGCGTTACTATTTGTAACTGGTTTTTGGTAGTTACGGAGAAAAGTTTTTGTATAGCCATTTGCCTTTAGGACATTGGAAACATATTTCCTCTCCTCAGCCTTCGAATCGAGTGAAGATGGTAGACAGTCAGCCCTCCTAAGTAAAGTTTTGGCTACAGACTTTTTATGGCAAATAGGGTGGTGAGAATCTTGTCTCTAAATTACCCTGAACCCCTCTGGACACATTTAAATCAAGAAAGGGCAAATGTCTATCCTTTTCACGCTTAAGGGTGAATTGGATCGACGGCTCTACTGAATTCAAATGCGACAAGAGGCGCTCCGCTTTATTTCCGGATACCGCAGAAATAACATTATCGACATACCGTTTCCAGAAAAAGGGTTTAACCGGTGAAGTGGCTATATAATTGTAGATGTAAAGGTTATGAAATACATTTCGAGAGCCGTGTTGATCTTTGTCTACGTCTTCAGTCCACACAGTCCATACATTTTTGTATTTCAGCGAAGTGCTCGATAAACAAAAGTGACATTTTTTTTCTATGTTTTCCCATATTCTCAACTAGAAATCCCAGGGAGCGAGAAAAGTAGCAGGGACGGTAAGAGTAAGATATACCTTTTTTCTGATAACACTGAATTTAGCTTCAGTTTTCTATGAGTGGAAAATATGTGAATCAAGTATCGTCACAACCACTTCGTAATTTAGCACCCCAAAGTTATCAGTTATACCGAACTTTCAGCCGGCAAAATTGGTCAAAAGCTGCCATGTTGGGCACTGTTTAATGGTATGGTAGGTTTGTGGGAGATCAATAATGAATTAGTCATTTCTTGGTGTACTAACGTCCCATCATGTTTTATTGATGGTTTGGAAAAATAGTGATATAAAGATGCAAAGAACAAAATGAATAACTTTTAAGCTATATCCTTGCCCTCATGTGTGAATTTATAGGTTTACTTTGAAATTTGATAGGATTTTATCCATTTTCCTTACGAAAATTGTGAGAGGTGATATTTCTCATTTCTGGTTCGTTTGGATCGCCACAAGTACCAGTGTCTGTTTGTGCAAGTTGATGTTACAGCGTGATTGTATCAGGAACTCCTAGAACCTCAATCATGTACTTAATACCTTCGTATTTTATTGAAATACTCATGATTATATTACCTAACTTTTATTTACAAACAAAGCCTGCTTAATGTACAGTCCAGGAAACTTTACGTTTCTTGAGCCCAAGATTACATTCCGAGAACCTAAGGACAATGGAAGTTTTCTGGGAAATGTATCATGGAAACCTCTGTCAAGTATGTAGAGTAACAAAAGTATGGCAACTATCAACCCAAAATATTACTTAATTTTATTTCTCTTGCATTTTTTTGGCACATTCTTGATTTATATTAAAAAATTTTTGCTGTGATCATGTATACATTATAAAGTTACACGAGGAGTGGAAAGCACGTCACCTAAACTCATAAGCAATCCATACAGTAGAGAGAGCCAACCGCACATACGTTAAGGAAAGGATATGAACAATTTTTTTTAAATTTGAAGCAGTAGTACTAGTAGTGACAGTAATAAATTGATGAACTTTAGGCCCTCAGAATAAATGGGAGTCGAAATCGAAAAATTATAATAGTTACTATAATAATGATAATGATTATACTAATAATAGTGGAATAGTAAAGTGTTTGTTTGTTTGTTTGTTTTTTTTAGGCGACGCTTTTAATTGGACTGGATACAGATTGATTTACGTCGTTGGTCGGGTATCTCAAGAGAAATATAAATGCGTGGACTTCTATAAGGTGAGAGCTGCTAAAAACCGGAAAACTTTACAATAGGCTTTGATCTCCCCTCCTTTTTATATTCTCAACAGGTATTAATTTGTTCAATCTCAGTCACTTTACCATAAATTAACCCCCTTAACAGTACTCCCAGATCAACGTTTTTCCAAGGTGTCTTTTGGCAACCGAAAATTATTTAATGGTTACCAGAAATAACAACATCAGAAAACAAACACGGGTCGCCAGTTTTGCGACTTCCTCTGAAATTTAATCGCCCATTTTTTCATTTAACCTACCATAGTTTCCAGTACGGTCGCAGCTCGGAGCGCTGGCTTTAAGTGCCGTCAGTAGATATGATTTACAATCTCATCTCTCCTCATTCTTTAAACTCTCCGGCTCTAGACACTAAGTTTAAATTAATGCTACATTTTTACCGTATAGAAATCGATTAACTGTATACATATTTTTATTTCAGAACGAGACGAGTTATTTTATAAACAGTGGTCTACCGAATAACACGCGCTTACGACTCATGGCAAGTGTATCCAAATCCATGATCTTTGTTTGATCTTTGGCGAAGGGAGGGGGAATTACGACAACACTATTGAATTACCTCGAAAACCTTGAGGCACAAAAACTGATATTTAAACCTGTTAAAGTGTGAACGGGGAGCCTCCTTACGCATAATCCTTGATACAGTTTTGTATCAAGGATACAATGCATGCCCTGAACACAAAAACGTATTCATGGCGCACTACATGCGTGATATTCCTTAAATAAGACCAGGCCTCCTAAATTTTACCCATTTATCAATGTAATCTTACTTTAGGAAAAGCACTAACGGGAATGATATCGCAAGAAAAAAAAACTGGAAATATAGATGGTGGTCAGCTGATCAAAGAATCTCTTGGAACTCTGAATACCCTAAACCTGTCTTAAGGCATAAAGTACTGTCACGGTTCTTTTTTCTGCGTATTTATTAACATCACCACGTAGAAGTGATGAGACGTGCTTTGAAGTAACGTGAAATTTGCAGTACACGCACGGTTTCATTGGTGACTCCTTTACGTTGAGGGCAATGTTAGAAGTTATAACCGACGTAAAAAATACAAGTTCTTCAAAAATAACTGCTTAAATTATTACACAAAATGTTTTTTTTTTGTTTTCGTTTTGAGTTGTTTTTTTTCTTTTGGTAGGTTGTCTCCATACCCTTTGACTCCAGTAAGTTCGAGAAACTAGATATTGATTGTAAGTCTCTTTAAAAGTTTTAGGTGAATCTTAAAAAGCCATACTATACTTTGTATTGTGTTTATTATTTAGTTTGATAATTTCTGCCGTAAGCTTAAGACTGGGGGCTGCGGTGGCCAGTGTGTGATCATGATTTGATGCTAGTGAGCAGTCTCGGGTGAGTAGCTGAATTTAAGTCAGAACAAGCAATTCGAAGCTCTATATTTTCAATCACATTTTCCAAAATCGATTGTTTTAGCCAGAGGTCTATAAAGACCTTCACGAGCCGCGGGGCAAAAGAATTAGTGGCGGCTACATGAGTTTGTAAGTGGGGCTAAATTACCAGTGTTACCTCTTCCACTAATTTTTAAATACATAGGCTCGTTTCTTTTTCTCAATTTTGTTGAAAAGTTTGTACAATTCAAACTGAGTTTGGATATTCACGTAGTCTTACTCCTAAATTCAATAGCGTGCCACGCCATACGTGGCGTCAATATCACCTTTACTTTCCTCTTGCGGATGTAAAATTAGGTGTGAACGGTTCTTCGTAATGCGGAAAAATGTCCTTATAAATGTGGGCAAGTGAAAACAGCTTGGCAGGTCCTTAACGGGATTGAGGCCTTAAACGAATCACTTGTTTTAGTCATCCTCTCAGCATAACAAACACTACTGTGATTGAACATTCAAAAATTGATTCATGTATTTTGCGTAAATGAAGATAACTATGGTGCTATAGTGCTGTTATTAGTACAGTCGCAGTCCTCGCTAAAAGCACGTTTCGCCAACCATGCATTTGCCAACCGAATTAAAATCTCACGTCATTCTGAATTTCTCAATTTTTTAACTAAAGTAGAATGAGACATTTGCTATAAAATGTGTCTAACCTCAATGCTAGATAATAAGGTGTAACCACCGACTGTGCCCCTTGGGAAGCCCGAGAGTTTCTCATCTCGTAAGATTTTTTTTCTGTCTTTCGTTTTTTTTTTTTTCTTGTGCAGGCCATATTCCATGCGGTGAAAAGCCAACAACAAGTGGCACA